ATGTATAATTGCCATCAGCAAAAACACCGTCATATCCTACGCCTACAAGCGATTTTGATACAAATTAGTGAAATTTTTAATCATTAGTTTAGGGCAGTTTCCTTCCTAACAACTTGCTTGTTCCCTTCTTCGTAATGCGTGGGATGTTTTATCTCAGTCTACCTCCGTCTATTTCACTTCTTCATTTCCTCAAGGAAGTTTGCCATTAAATATAAAGTCATTTGATAAGAGAAATATTAATTTTTTATAAATAAATCATAAAAATTACACGATAAAGTTGTTTAATTGAAAACAATATCATAAAGTGGTTGAAGAAGAAAAAAAAAATAATTATTTAAGCATGACATGGAAGCAAAGAAAATTATCAAGAATTCAATTCCAAAGAACAAAGAACGACGATAAGTTGATCATTAAGATTGAATCAGTTGATAAATAATTGATATAATAATTTTCCAATCAAAATTGATGGAAGTAGTTGATGAGAAAGATTATTTTATTCATTTGTTCAACGTAGAAAATAATCATTTGAAATCTGAATTAAAAGCAAACAAAAAACAAATAAAGATTCAAATTATTAGACTAGATTAATGTTATTCTTCTTATAGAAGAAAAATAAAAAATATAAGAAATGTCTCAATTGATTATGGAGCACAAAAATAGATTTAGTTGAAAAATAGAGAAAAAAAAAACAATTCTAAAGGAAGTGAAATCTCTAGAGGAAGACTGGCGACCAAGTATCGACTCCCTGACACACATTGACTCGTTAAAATAACGACATAATGGCTAATTTAGTGATAATAAGCGTGAACTGTATCGTTCAAATTAACGTCGAAGGTGAGATGAACCACGAGAAATATCAAGCATAGTAGTTTCAAATATACATGATGACGATGATGATGATCATATGTGGTAATATTTAACGATTCATTTCAATTCGATGTCAGTGTTGCCATCTTGGAACAAAATGTCGCAACTGTTGATAATAATTCCAGGGTCGTCACGATAAGTATTAGGCCCTTTTAATGCCATTTCTGTGAACTGTATGTCAACATTGCATACCAACTTAAGAAGTGTGACCTTCGTGAAAATCAACAACATCTACAAAAACAAAAAAAAACAAAAAGAAAAATAGAAAAATTTATTACAAAATTCCACAGCTTACGACAAAAATAATCTATGATTTGTGTAAACAAATTTTAAGCTTTTACACACGATGTGTCAATACATACCTATCTTTTTATCTCACAGTTATCTTGTCTAACAAATAAAAACATCCACGATCATGACATTTTGTACGATAAGTCCACGTGGTTATTCCTTTGACGTTTGGCTTAGTTAGCTCTACTGTGATATTTAATTATATAATTTTATGTAAATTGTCACGTTCCTTAGAAATGTATTTATACATATTTTCCTCATATCTTAAGAGCTGCTATAATATAAAAACTTACTCAAAGTTGAACGCCAAGTAAGTTATGAATAAAAATGTTATTTCGAAACGATGTTAAAATAGGAGTATACAAACATCATCTGTAGTTTAAATGTATTGAGGAAATTCTTAAATAGAGCTTTAAAATTCTATTCTGAGATATAATACTAAGTTATATTACTGATAACTGAGTCTCTATGCCTACGGAAAATCAATTAAACTACATACAAGAGAAAATATCATTCGATCGATCAAACGAATCGAACTCTTCCCTCTTCTCTATCTTTGTTTTTCTATTGACCTATTTTTTCATTTACTTCACTCTGACGAAGAAATTACATAACACTATAAGCTTAGCATGATCTAGACGTGATATTTATATTCAAATTCATAAATTTATTCGTAAAAGTTCTCAAAAAAAAAAAAAATGAAGCTGTAGGGCGTGGTTGTCATACATTTCAACAAATAAATTGAAATTAATTTCATTCCCAACAAGCTGTATTTCTACCAAAAAGAAGCAGCAGTAATTGAAATTTTAAAAATATTTCAAAGCTTTTAACAAATATTTTTATAGTTATAAATAATCGAATGATTAAATAATGACAGTTTTTGTTCAGCGCATCAGTAAAAATAACCTAAAATTGTTTCAAGTATGTTTGGAGATTCCATTATACCCGAAATAAATGGGTAATAATAAATGTCGTCTACATTCCAGCCCTTTCGTCATTGAGGATTGATAGACAATTGAAAAATCATTATTATAATCCATAAACTTACCTCAGCGTTAAAACCTCCCTTACCCGCCATCTTGACAACAATGATGGCTGCCGGTCGTGACTACCTGTATGCACGCCCGTGTAACCTGTGTCAAGAACTTAGGTATGAAATTACCAATTAAAGGACCCACAAAGTATTCACTCACTTTACAATTACCTGTGCTATACACTTTGTAAATAATTCACTATTGTTTTGTTATTATTTAGTCTATTCACTATGACCAAAATAAAATACAAACACGATTAATAGAAGAACCGAACTCACGCGATACGCACGCTTCGTTCTCTACCACGCGAATGAGACTATGACGTCATCTTATAGACGAGCTCCACGTACGACAGCGTGTATAAGCCATTGGTTGTTACCATAAAATATACTTTCACGAAGTAGACACGTTATTCTTACTCACTTGCACCTGCTTTGTCAGTCTCGTTCGGTCTTTTATTACCTATGGGGCCATTTCCCTCTCTTTCATCATGCGTGTGGTTGTGCCATCTACATTCTTCATTTGTCTAGACCCGCCCCCCCACTCTTTCGACTACTGTCAACGTAAAATTTCAAATTTATCGTTGGTGTACTTTACTAATCGATCATTAACTATTTTATTGTATTTATTATCGATTGATGTTTATTGAGACGTTAGATCTGATATATCAAATATTTACTAATTATGAGTCATCAAATAATATGTTTTAAATACAATAAATAATTCCTTTTTATTGTTTAAAACATTTGCATAGAAGAGGAGGTTAGTTTTATTTGTTTTTATTTATCTGTCTTATTTTTTTTATCAAATATTGGAATAATAAATCTTTTTTAATTCTATTTCAGAAATTTATTCCATGAAATAACGATGTGATGGATAAATTAATTTTTATGCAGGAATTATACATACTTGATTAATTTGTTAATTAAACAACATTGAAAAGATGATTCATTTCTGATTGACATCATAATTTTTTCCAAGAAGAAGCGATTCATGTAATTTTGCGGTTTATGCACGTGCAGTGGATTGTTCTGATCTATATTGTTTATTGATTGATATGAATCGATGATTATATGAGTGACAATCTATTGAATTGACAGACGTATAAAGTTTCATAAATGTATTTATTGGAGATGAAAATATTTTTACCTTAGAACAACTACTAGGTGTTAAAAAATCAAGCACTTATCATTAATTGAATAATAAATTGTTAATCGCTTTTGTTATTAAAACCAGCACTAAGCACTTAATTGCATGTACGATAGACAATTAAACTTCTATGAATGTGTTAGTTTACATTCTATGTATTGTACATATGCTTTTATATGTGCGTCATGTAGAGAGGACAGTCCATTACAAACGGGTGCGGTTCATTGTGGAATTTCTGACTCGTGATTAAACAAAGGCCAACGGCACGGACACGTTTGATTATTAAATCGCAAACATCTTCTACTGTTTTATTAAAAACGTGCTTGAATGCTAATGTAGTAGACATGTTTTTTTTTTAGATTTATTTATTTAAAAGTCATTCATTCATTTGATGGATACATTTTGACTTGGAGTAACTTTTTTGATATTTTGATAAAGATATGGAAAATTCTGATCAATATTCTGATGCTCTTTGTTACAGATGAGATTAATTATTGACATCAACATAAATATGCTAATCAATGAAAAAAACTTGGTCCCATTTCGATTTTATCACTCTCCAAAGTTTTGTATGACTAGCCCAAGGGGCTGAAGGAGGAAAATTTATTGCTAGCAATAAAAGTATCTGAGAAAAATACCAAGACTGCTCCGGGAATTTCTCCAGCGTTCAATTGACTCCTACATTTATCAACTCTATGACAGAAGTAGTTTCGGTACAGATCCAATTATTCTTTATAAATTTTTAAATAAACATATAAGTTTGAACAAAAAAAAAACAAGCAAAGTTAAGCGTCATTATCAACAAACTTTTGAATATTAATATAAGTTCACTTCTATGCGGATTATAATGTTATTTGTGTGTGAAATACGAAGGGGTAAGAGTAACTTTAAGGGGGCGGGATGCCAGCAAATCCTGGAGGGGTTCGGGCGTATGCCTGACCCACATCTGTGTGAATCGATCGCAATGCCTGCTTCTCTCTTTTTCTCATTCTCTCGTACTCTTCCTCACTTACATATAGAATCTAGAGAGGATAAGAACCCACTCTAGACTCAACCAATTTGTACATTTCGTTTAAATTTACTAAAATTCTTGGTGAAAGTCACAAGTGACGAAAGAAGCGATAAAATTTTCAAGTTTATGAAATTCATTTTATCACTTGTTATCTTCATTCATTTCGAAATATGCCCCATCTATTTCCTAACTCATTAGTTGTGATCAATTGTTCTTGAATGTATTATCATTAACAAATCATATAACAAATATTTTTTTATTCTATATTATAATTTTAACTTTTAAATAAAAACTAAGATAAATCATCTTCTGAATTAAATTGAACTAAAGATCAGATTTTTTTATAATTAATTTTATCTGATGAATATTCCATTTCAAAGGTACATGACTAAATTAGAGTTTCGATAGGAAAATTTCTCCTAAAAATGGATTTAATATGAGTAAAGAATTTTATTATATTTTTTATGATATCCATTTGGATGATAATCAATCAAATATGCAATAAAATATTTATTTAATTGTAATTTTATCATATTTCAATCAAAAGACTTGCTACTATTTTTATTATAATCAAAAATAAGGCCAAATCGATACTATTATTTTTGAACGATTCTTTTAGGAAAAATATTCTTATTGATAGACATAGCAGATGTTCCAAGCATACTTTTTATTTTTCAAATATTTGGATATTTCAAAATGCTCAATGGCTAGACAAACACTTATACACACCCGAATAAAGATCAAACATTAGTTATATCACCACAATATGTGAAATTTAAATATTTTCTTTTTCGTAATTTATTTATTCATTTATAACTTGTAAATTTTATTCTAAAACTATTACATTATTAATCTTGTATTTTTTCATGATCTCAAGAAGGAATCGACCACCTTAGCATTGAGTCCAAAGCAAGCATGGACATTATTATTCTTATCAACGAGAGAAAATGTTAAATGAAGAGATACTTTGGGATAGTTTGAAAGAACAGGCATATTCAAGTTGTATGTCACAGAGTCACCCTGTTTCAATGGACACTTGCCTCTAGTCAATGATTGACAGGCGTCCTGCTCAGGGTAAGGATAGTCAACAACGAATCCTCCTACTTTAGCTTTAACAATAGGCTTCATGTTGTCAGTATCAGCAACTAATGCAAAAATATTAAAAATAAAATTGCATAACAATAATAGATAAAAAGCTTAGATATATGTGTATATATAGAATGTGAAAGTATATATTGTGTATTTTTATGTTATCATATAGTATCGGGTGGAGTAAAAATAGTATTTCCTTGCAGGTTGCGTGTTCAAAGCTGATGACTCACCTACGTCAAAGTCCCACTGGGCTTTGACATTACTACCACGTACAAATCGACATGGGGAGTTGGTACATCCTTCAACCCTTAGTGCTGAAGGAGCGGGACCTTGTTCACATTCAGTGAAAGGTGTGTACTGATATGAAGCAGCGATGCAGAACACCGCGATGACAAACACTGGAGGGAAAAAATGAAATTAATCAATAATATTAAACGTAATAGGTTAAAAAAGTGATAGATGATAAATTAAAGAGCTAAAATTGATTGAAAAAAAATTCAGACATAAATAATTCTTTGGTTATACCTTGTGCGAACATGGTTAATATTTCCTAATGATGGCAATTAAAAACTGTGCATACATGATGGCATGGGCTTTTTTATATTCGAAGATAACATAATTAATATCTGATCAATCTAATCAGAAACACCTGGACAAAATGAATTAATTCTTCAGATTACAGTCATTTATTTTTTTTACCGAGTCCAATTGTTCATCTTGAAATATTTGCGATAATTTTTATCAGTTAGTCTGATATAAAAAACATTTAATTTTAATAAGAAATTTGAAAAAAATTTTTTATCAATGTATGTCTGCTTAAAAGAAGTTGTTTCCAGTTTCAAATCAATGATGATATTACTCTTGGGTTCATGGAATAATAAATAAATCATAATTTATGAAACTTGGAATAACACGTTTATTAAATTTGTTAATGAAGGAATCGTTTTATGAACCCGATGAGATTATATGGAAATATTGATTAAAGAAAAGCCCCGCAGGAAAACATAGTGGAGACATCTACTTTGCTACGCCCACAATCGATTGATCTTCAAACAAACTAAATTGTTCTACTGGAACTATGAACATACAGGTAATAGGATAGAGTTTTTATTTAAAATAAAAAAATGGTTGATTATTTTTATCTATAAAGATTAATTTTATTATGCTATAATTAAGAAAGTATTTACGTAACATTACATTATCAGACTTTGATTGAAATTCATTAGTTTTTATCAAAATTATATATATATATATATATATATATATATCATTTTTAAATATCATTAGGATAATGTTTTATTTTTTTTTTTATCTTTAGTATCTTTCCAAGCTGGCATTTGTACGAATCTTTCAACCAACCAGTCTCTTATTCGCATCGATGTTATCTTAAAGAGGCAAAAGTAAATCATATATCTCCAAGGTTCGCATCTGCAAAACAAAATAAACAAATAGAATAAAGAAGAAAGATTGTAAAAATGATACGTTGTTTCTCAAATGAAATGATTCACAAGACGATAAACATACTTGTAAACTGCTTGAGGATATTGATCCAGCAGAGCATCCTCAAAGATCTCATAGAGTCTAGGATTTTCTATCTTTTGAGGAGGAGATACATTGCGAGATAAAGGTGACAGGTAGTCAGCATATCTTTCAAAGTAATCAGAGTAAAAGGATCTTGCTTCCTGTGTCATTGCCAGCTTCATGACTTCAAAGTGTTTTCGTTGCTGTGATAGTAAATTACTTTCACGGATGAATGATCCTGAAAAATTTTATTTTAACGTTCAAATTTTTTATTTTCCTTTGAGCATAATAAAAAAGCATATATTTTATTCTTAGGTAAGACAAATAGGGTTGACGACTGAATAGATGATGATACTGATGAACTGAGAACAACATATTACCTGGAACAAAGCTCACTACTTCAACTCCATACTTTTTCAGCTCCACCCTGAGGGAAGTAGCCCAGGCAAATAATCCAGCTTTTGTCGCACTATAAATTGCAACACCAGGAAGAGGTTCACTAGAGCAGTGACTTGTAACAATAATCAGTCTACTTGACTGCTCTCTAAGGACTGGCAACATTTCCTTTGTCAACCTCATCGTTCCCAGAAGATTCACTTCCATCTGATGACGAATTTGCTCCTCTGTTTGCCACTCAAATTCTCCAAATATCATTGCTCCAACATTATTAACTACTCCCCGAAGAGCTGTAAATATATTTTAAAAAATTACTTCGCTTAATCTTGAGTTAAAATTCATTAATAACTCCTAGGTAGTAGTCCACATACTTACCAAGGTTTTCTCTCTTCAGGTAGTCTGCTGCTAATTGTACGAACGCTTTAACACTCGTACTGTCAGTTATTTCAAGAGGATATACAGTTATTCCAGCTTTGGAAAGGTTCTTCGAGCCTAGGCTATCGATGTTGTGGACTGCTGCGATCACCGAAATATTCAGGTGGTTTGAACAATGAAGAGCCAGGCTGTATCCTAATCCTGTATCACAACCTGTCACTATTATGCTGTCCTTATTTTTCAGTTCTCTTCGAGGATTTTTGAAGAAATAAAACCAGACAAATTCTATAAAATGTAATATAATCTTTTAGTTGTATTTATTTTTTCTTAATTATTATTTGTAAATTGTATTTGTTTTTCCTCTTTAGCTTTAGATAATGAAGTGATTTTGATAAAAATCATTGAACTGCAATGATCCAGAAAGAGGATTTGATAAAGTAAAAGCATTTGAAACTTTTGAACTGGAGTAATTGATAATTTTCTACTCACCAACTACAAGCAAGAGTGATATGGTTGATAAACTGATATATTCAAACTTCCATGCGCAAAAAATCATTGTGATGAAGACTGCTACGTTGAGATAAACTTTTTTAAAATAACTGCTAAATAACTGGATGAAACTCTGCATTTTGCAGTTGATTTATGTAAAAAATTAATGAATAAATTGCCACTTAATTTTAAAGAAAGAAACTTAAAAAATGGAAAAAAAGTTCAAGTGAACTCCTTGAAGGTTGAAGGAGATTTGTCAGGTAAAAAAAAAAAGTCAAGAGATGTTTGAATCTTATACTTCTCTACCAACGAGCAAGAAGTAAATCTGCTCGCAAGGGGTCAGTTTCTCCCACCGACGGTTATAACAGTTTTTTTCTTCTTTTTCATTTTTGTTGATTTTTAATAGCTCGCTCGAAAGAACTACTTGATATTCGTGAAAAAAGATACTCTTTGAATAGCAAGAATATTCGTCATTTGAATTTCAAGTTGCTGCTTTTGCAATTATAATGATAAAATTTTTAAAACCGCTTCTTAATTTTTTAAAACTACTAAAAATATTTGTAATTAAATTTCCATTCTCAAGAATTTTTAAAAATTTTCTTTAACTTAAAAATAATTTTTTTTTTCTTTAAATAACGATTGTATTTAAAATTAGTTTTATATTCATATTTCTTATAAAAATTCTCATTAGCATCAGCACTTACGTCTATGTGAAATTAAATTTTATCTCAACAACGGAACCAGACAGATCTAATTAAACACGAGTTATAAGATAAGTAGAATTTGATATACAAATCGGAAAGTTAAAACCGGCCGCGTGCAATATTATCGTACTCTTTGATTTCATATAGTATCTAACTGTTACTAGAATCAAGTTAGATCTCTTGAAATTCAATTTTAAACATAATTGTTTATTTTTAATTCTGATCATACATTTAGAGATATTTTTATAAAATTGTTAATCGACAAAATGTTAATTTGTACTCCAAAATTAAAAATCGCTTTTAAAAAAAAAATAATTTCAATTAAAAAACAGTTAATAAATATAATAACTTATGATTTATTAAATAATTACTCTAAAAAACTAATTTCATACTATGCAGACTAAGGAAACAGATTAACAATATAATAACCAATAATTAAATAAATTAATAAATTGTTATCTTGATGAATTAATGTAGTTAAGCTTTAATAATGCATTAACGGATATGATCACAATAAAGAAGAAGAAGAAAGTCAAATACTCAACGAGTGTTATTAATATTGATTAATTAATATATACTATACAAAGTAGCATTTAGCTTTTCTCACAATTGAACGAAATATACAATTTAATGCTATTTGACTTAATTGTAAATATTATTATTTATATATTAAATTGATAAATGTTCATTGTAAAAAATGTATTATTTTAATAAAAATTTTTATCACTGACTACAATTAGAAATAACTTGAAACTGCCATTAAAAAATTGTAATGCACTGCTTTTGAATTATATTCCTTGTTCTTTTAAATTAAGATTGGGATTTCCCATAATATCGAATTCAGGATCAATTTCACTATGGATTCTTCCCAACCAGGAGAAGATAATAATGATAAAGATAAAGAAAAGTAGGCCAGCCATAAACATCACTGCATATCTTTTGTACAAAGATCCTGAAGAGTTTCTTTTATGTGTCGGAGGCCGTGATATAAGCTTCCACCACCTCAAGAACCATTCAAATGCAGACTTTCTTTGATATTTATTTTCATCATGGTCAAATGTAACATCTTTTGGGTCATCATAAGCTTCAAATACTTTACGATCTGATTGATGAGAGGATTCCATGTTAACTACTGAATACGGAGGTCCTTGTTTTATATTATTTGAATGTAAATTATTTAAATGGGTACTTGAAGAATTTACACTGCTACTTGTTCTAGCAGTAGCTACTGAAGGAACAGATACGTGATTTTGATAGACCGGTGTATCTATCGAAGATACTTTGGATTGAGCTTCTTGAGTTGGCTTTTGTTCTGCATCACTGCTTAGCTGAAAAATAAAATATTCCAATAAAATATCTATTCAAAGACAATAAATTTTTTATAGCAATTAGTGATAATGATTGAATTTATTATTATTAAAGTTCAATGATTTCTTTGGTGTGAAATTGTTTGAAATAATAGAAACTTACTAAAGGTAAATCAAGACCAGCTCTAGCCCAATTGACACTAACTAATTTTTCCTTTAGCACATCAGCAACTGGAGAAACTAAATTCGATCTCGGAAAAATACAAGCTTGACATGTGGGACAAATGTATCCTGCTGGAGCTGTTGTAGGAGGTAAACTCCTAGCATACCTGTCTAGGCATGACCAGTGGAAGACATGATAGCATGTTAATCTCACACAATCTTCATTTTCTAAAACACCTGAGCACAGAGTGCAATTTGAATCGTAATCACTGTCTTTTAGCCATTGAATATAAGATTGAACTATACACTGAAAAATAAAGACAATAAAGTGAATAAAAAATTCATATCATTGATAATAAAGTTAAAATAATGAATAAAACTATACCTTAGGATGGCTTGACACCATACAATGCTCACAAACGTTAACTCTATGTTCAAAACAAAATTGATTCGTAACCGTTCTCTTTGGACACTTGCACAGACCCATTTTTGGTGAATGAGAACGAGTGATAATAAACAATATAAACTAACAATAAATAACCGGCGAAAAGAAAGTTGTATAAAGTGCTAAAATCATATCACCACTGACAGATTTATGCAAAATTGTGTTATTCTATATTGCGCCATGTTTTAGAGGCCACGTCGTCGATCTCTTTAATTTTTTCAGTCGGTAATAGCGGACAAAGGCCTATCTTTTTACTCCAAACAGTTGATCATAACCACAACAACAAAGACAACAGTGTCCATAACCAACCTCAATTGAGAATATTTCTCCGAAATTCTAGATTTTTCTATTATTTAATCATTTCAAGAGACTGATGATCATAACAATTAAATTAACATGTTGGAGAATGAAGAGGAGAAAGTTTTAGACCAAGATCAATGGAAAGTAGAAGCACAAGCGATCATAAATGATGTTAGAAGACATGTACAAGATATAAAAATATCAGAGAAACTTTGCAGTACGAATAATTCTATCTATTTAAATCTTACAACTCTTGAAGGACTAAAGTTTTGTGTTGAAGTGAGTGGAAATGGTTTCTCCATTACTGGAAATCAACATGATTCAGTGATAAATACAGACAATAAAACTTTCGAAACTCCGTACAGTCTGTTGGATTCTATAAGTCCCAAATACAGAGAATCATTCGGGAATGATTTGATGAAAAAATTAAATAATCTTAATGATAATTGACTATTTTAATTTACCTTCGAATGCATATCAAATTGTCTTCATCATTTGTAATATATATTTAATTATAATAAATAAAAATGGACATATTATAACCTAAAAGCATATGTTATTTAACAAATGTCGATTATTAAATAAATAAAAGGCAATTTTTGATTTATTTAATTTTCAGATTAATGCGGACTTAGTTTATATTTTAATCAAATAGAAGCGTTAGTTGTACATTCTCGCGGATTTTTTTCAAACATGTGTATATCTCATCAACATTTTGGCGTTTTATGGTTGTCAGCAGTAGCTCGTGAAACGGGTGTAGGTTCTCTGTTTAACCTATATTCTCACTATGTATCAATAATTACAAAATTTAAAATAATTGTAATTATTAATAAAAAAAAACTAATTGTAGGTAACTCTATTATTCTACACATTCTGAAGTACGTTACTATTATGATTAAGTAAATAATCATTATTTTTTCAGTTATGCTACAAGCCTTTTATTTTCCCCAGTTAGCTTATTCTTTATGATTATATAAATATAAATATTCACAACAATAAATTTCTCTAGCTGATGGCAATGTTGAAGTTCATTAAAAATATCCATTATGGCTCAAATAAATCTTTATCAAGGTCGAATTCGTGGTTTATGCCGAATTATCAAATGATTTCGCTCTGCTCCAGTACTGCTTCTGCAAGCCAGCCACGAGTGAGTTGTCATTAGTCAATTTGAAGTCAAAAATAAATTTACTGTGATTTATTTTTTAACAGATTGACAAGGTGAATCAAGAAAAAGTTGAATCTTCAGAGACATTTAAGAATAAACCACCAAGTTCATCTTACTCTATGACTAATTTTGTATTTGAAAGTCTTAAAACTGATCTATCAAGTGATAAATCTAAACAAGTATTCAATGCAAAGACGGTAGAAGATTTATTAAAAATATCTGAAGCTGAGAATATCAGCAATAAATCTATCTTACTTATTGCTACTACTCTTAATCGATGGATTTCAGAGAAAAAAATAGTATTGGCTGACTACGAAAAAGATCCTAGATTTCAAAAAGTAGTGCGAAAAAGTGCAAATATGAATCGTGATGTACCTCAAAAAAGAACTCCTTTTAATCCCAACGAGATTGATAACATTATGGATACTTCTAATTTAACACCAGATCAAAGTGTTAGACTGCTGAGTGGTTTAGCCGTAAAACATACAAGAATGAAACCTCTCATACAATCTCTACTTACTATTATCAACAATAATGTTGATAAACTTACATTAAAACAGACTGCAGATGTTCTCTTTTCTATGGCATCACTTAGCTTTCCTCATGATGAGCTTCTACGAAAAATATGTACAAAAATTTCAAAATGTGTGGATGAAATTGAGCAAAGTCCGATTATTGGATCAATAGTGACGTCTCTTGGAATGATGAGATATCGGAATAAAGAGTTAATGAATACAATTTCTATTTGGATCATGAAACATAAAGATATCGTTAGAACTCGAGATGCATGTTCTTTTCTTCTAACTCTTGCTGTTCTTGGATTAAAACCTTCTAACTTTGATGTTTTTATCCAGGTATGTTTTTTATTTTTTAATAACTTCATTCTTTAAAGACTCTTTTATTGAAATACATAACATCATTGTTTCCAGGAATTAATAGCACCTCTAAATATAACTGATATGACTACTTCTTTAGAATGGATAGATGTAGTGTGGGCTTTGAGTATTTTAAATCGAGCGTCTCCGCAGCATTTGGAATCGGTATTAAATAATCAATTCATTAGCATGCTGCCAGGTATAATTCATCATTTATTATTATTCTCAATTGTTTAATAATCTTATTTCATAAAAAAAATTTTTTTTTGCAGTTGATGAAGAAATTCCTTTTGTGAGAAAATCTAAATTACAAAATATCAATTCTGTTGCTAAATTATTAACACCTGATTATAAAGGATCATTTTTAAACTATAAATCACCATTATTTATTTCTCCACAAACAAAAAATAGAGAAAAGCAAACATTTATTCGGGCGATAACAGATGCTCTTGCGAATCTGTTTCCATCGAGAGATTTCTTTGATGCTAATTTTATGGATGATGCAGGATTAATGATAGGTAGATAATAAATATGCATAAAACTTATTTTTGTGGAAAATATATCTTGCATACAGCTATAGCTTTTTATTATTTTTTTCTATTTAAACATTGAATAATTTTATGTATTATTTTCAGATGTAATATTTTATTATGATAAGAAGAAAGGACCGATACCAGTGACAGAGGGAACTGTGAATGAAAAAGCTATTAGGTTTGTTACTAAATTATTCAAGTATTTTATTTCAACTGTGCTTATCAACCCTTATTTGAAAATTATTTTTAAAATAATGACTACGATGTATTTATTAATTTTTGATGTAATTTTTCAGAATAGCAGTAATAGCAAATACATTTCACGATTACTGCATAGGTGAAAAAAGTTTAGTAGGATCGGTACTATTACATTATCGATTACTCCAAGCACAAGGTTATCAAATAATTGATATATCTTATGAAGATTTTAATTCTACCGATAAATTACTTAAAAGAATAACTTATATGAATGATCGTATTAAATCAGTTGTAAAAAACGTGATGTAGAAGACATTGTTTCTGTAAATTAAATAAAAATTTTATAATGATATTCAATTACATATTTCAATGTATATAAAGTGTCTAAAATTACTAAATAAATAATTTATTATAATTTTTTAATAATACTAAAATCTATCCATACTTTACTTCTATTTGCAATTTTTTTTTTTTCAAAAGATTCATTTAGTTTTGACCGAACTAAATTCTAAATAATAAATTGTTTTTTTTAGAAATAAATTTACGACAAATTTAAAGAAATTTACATAAATATTCTTTTATTATTTGTATAGAAAAATATTACATTTGGTTTTATAAGTTTAATTCATTACAAAAACTGAAATAAACTTAGATCAAGTGTGAGGTATAGTTGAAATGAATACTGAATTATTATTATTACTATGTGTTATAATGAATTGTTGCTAAAGTGAATCTCATTCTTCATGAATATCATGTAAATCTTTTTTTTTTTTATTACAAACGCACTCTTACTTAACACTAAAAAAAACCCAAATATTAAAATTGATAAATATAAGTAAATATCCGTAAAAATCGATTACAAATTCTAAAAACTACCATTTCTAAAAATTTTAGTGTTATTAAAATATTATACAAAATTTTAATTGTACTTTTATAAGTCGAATTCAAGAAAAGTTACAAATTGTAATTAAAAATTATTCCAAAATTATTGAAAAATGAGTATATATACTTATTATATTGAAAACTGAGCTTTATCTTTTGATATTTCATTATCAAAATAATGTAACTGAGGTAAATCAATATTATCTAGTATATTTTTTTCTAAATCATCAACTGGTTTTTCCAGTGATAGATGTGGTATCAACCATATTGAATTGTTTGATTTCTCTGATGATACGTATTGGAGAATATTTTTTTGACGGTTTCTACCATTAGAAGGAAAATTCATTCGTTCAAAGAATCCAAGTACTGCAAAAGATGAAATAGCACCGCACATTACGCCAATAGCTACACTGATTAATGCCATATAGGCAAAGTAGAAAATAATTTGGAAAATACCATCCATTCTGAAATGAAAATTAAATAGTTTTATAAATTTATTAATAACCAGATATCTTCTTATTACCTTATATTTAAAATAAATATAAATAAGACTTACTTTGATACAGCTATGTAATAATAAATCGAATAGATAAAAGTGTATTGCCCGATAGATGTTCCTCCCAAAAAACTTGTCCATTGCCTAAAAAAAATAATTGTACAATAAATATAGAGTAATTATGATTGAAAATAAATAAACTTTTAAAAAAAAACCATTTACCATGAACAACGTCCACCTTTGAATAAAAGATAACAGCTTACAATACCAGTACATAAAACCATCATGTGAAGAAACATGAAACTCAGGCAGATATAATTGTAGCTTGCATTAGTATTATGCTTCCAAAATGAATCACAAATATCGCTCAATGTCGGAAGTATTACTCCAAATGAGAAAACACCACTGAAAGGTATTAAAATCAATGGATGTAAGAACCATTGTTTCTTGGTTGGTATTTCCATTGGCAACTTAACAGTATTCATCTTGGTAAATGTTTCTTCTTGATGTTTCGCCAACACTGTACCAATCGCGGTAAATAGAGGTAATAATAGACATACTAATGTCCATAAAACCTGATAAAAAATAAACCAAATTAAATATTTAAATTATCCCTATGGCATAATAAATATCATATGATTGATATGGAAAGTAATATAAGGTACCGTAGCTTCTACTGATAAAACACGAGTAGTTTGGAAGTAATTAGCAGCAAGACTTATTATCATTGTCACTCCCCAAATTAACGATGGTCCAAGATATGTGCTAAATAATAACTGTGGCATCCATAGTTGTCCACCCAATCTTAAATAAAATCCTCCTCCGTAAAATCCATTAATTGGGCATGTAAAGATGTAAATAAATACAGCTGCTGATAACAAGGATCCTGGTTCTTCTAGAATTTCAATGTACGTACCATATATGAAAAGGAGGATTGTGCCAATCATAAGCTAAAATTTCACAAATAAAATTAAATTCTACTTTGACTCTAAAAGTTGGAGTAAAATTGAAAAAATATTCACCTGAAATCCAATTCCCATTAATGAAGAAAATATTAGAGGATATTGAAAAGGTTGAAGGAGGTCATGTTGATCATTAGTTGAAGAATCTTCTGTATTGTCTATGGGACAGCTGCTAGACAAAGAACGTCTTTTTCGCAATATTCGTAAATTGATTATGTAGATAAGACTCAGAGCAACGACAGTTTTTATTACACTATATAAAAGGTTCATCCAATGGATCTATAACATAAATGATATTTATTAACGAGCCGTAATGATTGACATTTAATGTAATAATAAAATAAAAAAATAGTTCATTACTTTCGCGATAGGTAGAGTTGAATCTAAATATTTGCTATATCTACATTCAAAGTCTTCCCCGGTAAACATCCAATTTACTTCATAAGAAAATACGATGGAAGTATTAGGAGTTATTTTACTACGCATATCATTCTCAAGTCCAACTTCAATTATTTGATCACCACGGTGCTTGATAATAAACTTCTTATGGGTAAATAGATAAAAATCATTTCCCTCATTTTCAATTGTTCCAATAGTTCCTAAAAATATTAAATATCTTTATGAAAATGCTTTTTATGATATTACATAATTAAGTATCAAATTATTTACCCGACACTGGAAGCTTGTCTAAAGTCATCTCATACCAATATTGATTGTAAATAGCATGTTTAAATGCTTTCGCATCTTCTTCAGTTACATAGATAGCACAATAGTCGGTTTTTGGAGTAGGAGCTAAACAAAATTAAGTTTTAGTAAGAGCATAAGTTATGGTCAGAGAAAATAGACCTGCATAGAAGTTCAATACTATGTTTTGTTTAGGGATCACCCAAGGCCACCCCAACCGTGTTAAACTTCTACCTGGCTCCATAAGAACCCATACTAAATTTTTGGAACACATCGGCCCATTTGAAATCAACTTCTATTCACGTCTTTCTTCTCTGTTACGGTAAATCAGAATCATGATATTTACTTGTAAATCCTATGTATAAACCGCTAGGAACATAATTAATGCCTTGAAGAGCGTCGAGCAAACTTGTTTTATGGTAACCTAGAGTATCCTTATGATTTTGACAAAATGGCAGCGAGTAATAGGGATAAGTTTCCTGTTTATTGTTGTATGGCCTAAGAGGGCCCACCCATAATGTAATTTCTTCACCATCTTGGTACTGAAAATAAATTTAGATTCTCATTATTAAAATTATCTAGGTGATAAGATACTTATTCTGATTTATATATAAATAAATTTATCACAATTCAGTTGTATTCATAGTTAAGAGAAAATATTTAATTATTTATTCGCGATTATTGATTTATTTTATTGTTTACTAAATATCGATAATAGATACGTTCTTTTTGGTGGGAATTTTTCGAAAGTTGGGGAGACTACGGTTTCCGTGGCGCCGCGATTTTTTTTTGCCTCGCAAAATTGTTGTAACTTGGTACAATGTACTTGCAGGGTGATTTTTTTTCATTAAACGGTGCGGCCGAAGGCCGCCACCGGAGAGAACCCTCTAATTCTGTAGTCCAAAATTATGCCCATGTATAAGCCCATATAAACCCAAAATTTAAAGTATCAATATCTCGAAAACTAAGTGAGATATGAAAAAATTTTATTCTTCATTTTCGTCTTATTTTGGACTGTTCTATCGAAATTCATTATCATTTCGTGGCGCCACGGAAACCGTAGTCGTGCCCGAAAGTTTTTCACTTAAAAAATGAATACTTATGACGGAGTTTATTATAATATCTAACGAAAATTTGGAGAAGGGAACATAACCTTCATATTGTTGCCTTAGGAAAAAAAAAATCTATGAATTGTTGATATTTAGGAATACTTACGACATGATTCACTTCATCAGACAATACTGGATGTAAAAACCCAAATATGAGAAAACTTAAAATATGATGGATCCAATTCATGATGAAAAATTTAAAAAAATTACACAAAATTTCCACAATTTTCAGCAACTAAATTGCATTTCCAGTTTTCTGGGTATTTTTATGACGACTTATTTTGTCAGAAACAGCTATAATAATGTAAACTTCTGATCAGACAGAAAAGATAAACGCGTCTATACGTGTGTTTTTATTTCTCCACTACCACACACAGCTTTGATGACGTCGACGGCGTCAATGGTCGTTCAACGCAAAGCTGCTGCCAGTTGAACCAAGAAAAGAGTATACTTTTAAAAGAGTATCGAGACTATAGTTTCCATTTGGTGTCTAATGTCACGTCCCCACAAGATTTTATTAGAAGGCGGGAGATTAAACACCAAATCAAGACTACTCTTTTCTTGGTTAGACTATCGCTATATATAAAATTAAATCCCCAAAAGAAGGAGGTACAATAAAAACTAACACTCGATTTAAATAGTTTGTTAATATATTTTTTATAAAAGTGATAATAAAATTTTAAATTATATAAAATATAATATATTTGAATTTATACAATAAAAATATTGGAATACTAATTCTCTAATTTTTAAACAGTCCTAATTTTTAGATTTCTATTTATTGTTTTTCTCTAAACTGTGGAAAAGACACTGCATCATGTGCTTCTTCATGATGCTCAACTACTTCTTTTATTTCTTTATTAATCAAATTCTGGCAGTCTTTTAGAAATTTGGCAACTTCTGCTTCTTTTTCCATTACTTTTCGACGAAGTGAATCCCTTTTTACATACATTTCTACTTCTTCAGCTTGTTTATCTGCGTAACTCTTTTCAATGAACTTCTTTTCATTCATTAGCTCATTTATTGTCGCACGATATTTCGAAAGATGCTCCTCACAAGAAATTTTACATTTGTTTACTTCATCAGCAAATATTTCTTCTTCATCTTTGTCGTAAGAGTCATTATCATCAGCTTGAAGTGTTGAAGTTATTTCATTTATTTGCTGTATTAAAGTTTCAGCTTTCTGCTTTGCTTCTCTAAAAATAAATCAATCAATTAATAATTGAATAAAAATCTAAAATGTATTGTAAAAAATATAAAAATAGAAATAATTGAAGTAAAACTTACAAAATTTCTTTATTAAGTTCTATTATTTCCGGTAGCTTATTACGAGCCTTAACAACTGCTGCTAAACAATTCTCCAACATTGCAATGGTAGGTTTTTTTGATTTTAGAGCATCTTGTAAAGCTGAACGCTTCTCTTCTTTATTTTGTATTTGTTCTTTTAACTCTAATAAACGAGCTTTGTATGATTCCGGATCTTTAACTATTTTTTCTTTTAATTTGGCAGTGATGTCAGTTATTTTTTTAATCTCTTGACGTTTATTTTCAACATCTTCAAAAATGTTTTGATGACGTTCTTTAATAGCCTTGACCAACATTTCTTTTTCTTCCATGTTTTCTTTTCCTTCTTGAATTTCTTTCGTGATTTTTTCTATTTCTCGATCTAAATTATCACTTGTGGTTTTCTTCTTAGAAATTCCAAATGCTTTTATGTTCATTTTCTCTTGTAACTCTTGAGTTTTTTGACGTAGCTCTGTAATTCTTTGACCTCTTGCTAAAACTTCATCGATGTCTGGCTGCATTTCTTCTTTTGCTCGTCGAGCATACAGAAGAAAGTTTCCAAATATTTTTAAAATTTTACGAGTACGTTTGGGTCCAGGATTTGTAAGATCACTGATTGTAAAATCTTTGATGAATATTTCTCGGCTAAAATGGGATATTACTTGTCTTAAATTCATTATTTTTAATATTGGAGCATTCTCTAGACCTGAAACTCTCAAGGCTTCAAGCTGATCCATAGTTGGCTGAAATACAAAAGAAGATTCAACTATTGTTTTATGAGTTATTAATTGAATAAAATGTATGTTTTATTTTTTTGCTTACCTTTTCAACTGCATCAACATCTATTGAAAGACGTTTCAAAATATGTGTCATAATGTTAATCATAAATTTTTCTGTAGGATTTTGCAAATCTTGCATCGTTACTGGTAATGCAAGGTCAGATAAAATAGTAAATACTGACTCTGGTGTAATAGCCATTGTCCTAAAATGTAAACAGCTTCTGAAATAACATAAAAAAATTAACACGTCCAATCTTATGCTAAGTATCATTGATTCTCGTTAAGTTATTACCAATATTCAATGGAAATAAAGTTCTATAAACTTTAAACTCAGTGCCAAAAATAACTATTTAATTATTTATAAGTATGCTAAAAATAAATAAAATTAAAATAAACTGTTTACTATACATAGATCATTAGGATTTACCGCTAAAAACCGTTAAATTTCAAATACTTAACATAACCTAACATTTATTTCGCCATTTGTCATGTAGAGGGTAGCACACACATTGGATCGTGCTGCTCCCTACAACTCTTCAAATTGTATTTCATTTTTATTGTAATAAAATATTATTTAAACAATTAAAACAAATAAAACATTTATTTATTTATATTTTAGAAATATAATTTTATATGAATAATATTGACAAGTTAAAATTATGTTTATTGTAAATTTTATGAGGTAAATAAAGAGTTTTAATCTAAAGGTAATAGAGGGCAGTTGTTACCAATTCTCAGAACAATAATTATAAAAAAATAACAGCACCCCTTTCTATTGACTTTATTTTCCAAGATGCCTCGTATCTTGTTTTGTACAAAATGAAAAACTTTGTGTGTTGATCGTAAAAATTGAAAAGTGAAATAACAGGAATTGTTTAAATTGGGGTTTTATCTGCAATCTGTGATATTTATTTATATTGTTGGAAAGATAACCGGCGAGATGTTAAATCAAGCTGTTGTAGAAGCTTTATATTCTGCAACTTATATTGAAAATTACTTAGATTGCGTTGAAAATCTTCCAAACGACATTCAAAGGCATGTTTCGCGATTAAGAGAATTGGATGCTACTTGTCAAAGTGAGTATTTTAATTCTCTTCTGATTATCCACTATTGAATTTCCCGACAGTAAAAATTTTATTACATCATAAAAATTTATTTCAATGTAATTATCCTAGTTTCATTGTCTACTTTTTTTATCTATGATTTCAAAGATAATCAATTCAATCTTGTTAATTTTTACAGCATACCTCAGAGAAGTTGAACAACAGCAAGAATTAATAAAAATTGATACAGATGTAGTGAGCAAAAGAAGAGCAATCCTACGAATTCAGCAGGCCCTAATAGCAGCTCAAGAAATTGGCGATGAAAAGTTACAAATTGTTCAACAAATTCAAGACCTTATAGAAAATAAAACTCGACAACTTGACCTTGATTTCCGTAATTTAGGTATATTTAAATTTATCTCCAATTTTCTTTCCCATCTTATTCAACGTCACTAGTAATTGAATTTAAAAAAAAAATAAACATTCCAATTAAAAAATATTTTTTTTTATAGATTTTGGTAAGGAACAAGAAAGTAATGAGCCTACACGTGAATCAAACTCTAATGCAAACTCCGGAGCAACTGGAAACACGAATAACGTTGAACGCCAACCGAAGAGAGCAAGAAGAACAAGAACAGAAGCTTTAGTAGAATCAGCCCACGCTATGGACATGATAGTAATGTCAGAGAATCGGTCAACAGCTCTTTCTAATACAAGTAATGGTAATCAAAAGAAAACAACAGCTGCAGCTACAGGAAAGAAGAAAAAACGAAAGGCACGTCAAGGAAATCAACAGAATCAACATCGTGAAGATACTCCACCTCCTCCAGAGGATGATTTAGCTATTGATCCTGATGAACCAACCTATTGTCTTTGCGATCAGATCTCGTACGGTGAAATGATTCTTTGTGACAATGATTTATGCCCTATTGAATGGTTCCACTTTTCATGCGTATCATTAAGTACGAAACCTAAAGGAAAATGGTTCTGTCCAAAGTGTCGAGGTGATCGTCCGAACGTGATGAAGCCAAAAGCACAATTCCTTAAAGAATTAGAAAGATATAACAAAGAGAAAGAAGAAAAATCGTAGCATTAGTATTTTTTGGAGCATGCAGATTTTATATGAACTGAGACTTTGATCTTTTCAAGATTAAAAAAAATATCCACAACGATGTAATTGAAAAAGTGAAATGAAAGGTACTGATTTTTTTTAATTGATGATCAAAAAATATGAGAAATTATTTATAAGAAATGTTAGATAATAAATATGTATCAATCATCAAGTGTAATGATCATAGTAATTGAGAAAGTTAGTTTGTACTTTGGAATAACTGTAAAATAACAGTATTAATTTAAGGATGGGTCATCTTGTTTAACAAGGAAATGTTTTATAAAGGAGATAAAAATATTAACGACATAATTATTGTAAATAAGCATTACATGTATTTTAACAAATTCATAAATCACATACCGTTCTAATCGTATTATCAATAGTTAAATAAAGATTTTATGTTTTATTGTCAAATGAGAAAAAAAAAACAAAATTATAAATTTTTTTTACCCTAAATTTTTTAAAACCCTAATGTAATCTAATCAATTTTGAATAACATTCTTTTAATCAATTTATTACTACAATAATAATTGTGTATAACATTTTATTTCATTAAGTCACTTGGAGATTCTATACTTTTATAAAGTCATTTAAACTCTAAGCTAAATGAAAATAATTAGTACACACATTGCTTAAAAATAACAATCACAAGAAGTTATCGCAAGGATAGACATAAGAAAAAATTCTGCAATTTTTTATTTTATGAGATTTTTTTCAGCTTTTTCTTATCCTTAACGAGTGGAATGAGGATACAAATTATTAATATCTTCATGGCCCTTTCTTAGAAGTCGAACGGGCTCGGTTGCTGATTTTTTATGAACCTAATGTCAGCGGGGATCTTCCACGTGAGTGTCTTGAAAATTCAACCAAGATTGTTCCACAACAGTAGCAACACGTTTCTCATATTCTCGTTTATTTTCTTGATACAGCTGAGCTGCTAAGGAATTTGCTGGTGAATTTGGGTTTGGTTCATCCAACAGTGACTGTAAAAATATGCAATAAATTAAGCAAAAATTAATTCTAAAAATAAAACACAACAACAAATAACTAAGTGAAAAAAAGGTTTAATTTTTCTGCATTTTTTTAAGATTAGATTATAAAATTCAGAGTAAAATTTTTATTATTTAAAATTATCACAAAAGTTTCCTTTTTTTCACTCACTAGATAAAGCTAATCTTTAGGAGTTCAATAAACAGGATATAAAAATGTATAAAAAAAATTTAATCGCACAAAACGTGATTTATTATTACTATTATTATCATTATTGTTAATATTATTATAATTATTTTTATTTTAATACGTAGTATTTCGTATATATATTTTTTCTTGTATGTATAGTGAATTTAGGTACGATAAAGAAGTACGAGATTTAAATACAAGTACAAATATCTGTGCTTGATCGTTCTTAGTAAATAAATCATTTTGAGAAAGAAAAAAAAAATGAAGAAAAAAGACTATGGTAATTAACATTTTATACCTCACGATTTAATAATCACTAATAGTCTTATTGAATTATGCTGACTTCTTTTTACCTCTCTCTCTCTCTCTCTCTCTCTCTCTTTCTCTCTTTTTCTCTAACTTTCTTTCAATTTGTCTTACTCTCTTTGCTCTTATTTTCTCTCACATTTGAATAAATAAATACACAAATATATAATAATTTATTTTACAACACTCGGTAAAAATTCGATCTAATGTTGCACATTGTGATGATCAATAGAGGTTGATGTTGAAAATTTTTTTGTTATCTCTTGTTGTATTTGTTTGTAGCTTTTAATTGATTTAGGGAGTGACAATGCTAAGCGGTTAGCGTTAACTCCATGGTAAGGCTGCACATTTGCTTCCACATTTGATGTAGGATGTTGATGATGGTTGATTGTGGCACAACGTAGGCGCATTTGCCAGCGACTAATCCACAAAACTTTGCTCCACGCACGCCTTCACTCGTTTCTCGTACTCGCGTCGATTCTCTTTATACAGTTGCGCTGCCATTGAATTGGCAGGTGAATTCGGGTTCGGGTCACTTAACAGCGACTGCAATCATATAAGCCAATAAACTCGTTATGTATTTATTTATCATTTCGTATATTTAAATATATCCAACATTATCCTACACTGCTAACTAAATATTTTTTATCTTACACTTTTCTTTCAACCAACACTAACCTATATACAATTATAATCATCTTTTGTATACTTTAATAAACCTACTCATTAAATAATTGATTAATTAATTAATAATTTTTAATTGGTTAATCGAGACTCTGATGAATTGCAACCGCTGTTAACCGACATTTAATGAATATAATTAATCAATCTATTGATTATAATTTTTTTTTTAGATGATTTAATTGATGGTATGAATTTTCTCTATTTAATTGACTTCACGATAAACCATTGAATAGTTTGTCAAATAAAAATTTATCCCGAACAAATGAATTAAATGTTTTCTTTTTATGATATTGTTTATTTACCTGTATAGAAGTTAAAATAGCTGACACATCGTAGGTTGGACTCCAACGATTTTGTAAAATATCCAAACATATTCCTCCATCGGCATACACATTCGGATGAAACATTTTACTAACAAATCTAACTGTTGGTGGTTTATTTGGATACTCTTCTGTGAATTCTATTGTAAGTTTAAAAGTACCGTCTTCAAAGGGTGTGTCATGAGGCCTGAAAAAATAATAATGAAAATAAATATTAATCAATTTAAAACATCATTATAACTTGAATAAAAAATAATAAAAACAAAAATTAAAACAATGAGTAATTGATAACTCAACAAAGAAATATTAATTGATAATAAATTAAACTTTATCGATATAAAAGCTGAGATCATCGTTTAAATAAATTTTTATTACGCTTTATCATACCAGAATATATCAAAATCATTTTCAAATGTAACTGAACTTGTCAATCATTCACCGGTTTTATGCGGTTTTTGAAGTTGAACAGATTCTGTGGATAACTGTTTTTTAATGGTTGAATTGATTCGCAATTTGTTCAACTTTTACTCCAATTCTAATAATTAACAAGTTTTAAATGTGTTTACATCAACAAAATAATTACTTGAATTATTCTAAAATAGACTAAACGTTTATTCTGACGCAATTGATATTTTTTTTTACATAGTTACATATAAGAATACTTGAAGATGCTCTCTACAACCTCACAATAAGAATAACTGTTTTTTGTGGTTGAGAACAGTTTCTTTTGAAAAACAACAAATTCTCACAATAGATTTAAGCATGTACATTGCTGAACAATCATGAAATAATTTATTGGCCATGATGATGATGAAATAATAAGAAATATAAAGATTAGAATAACATTTTTTGTAATACCTACCCAAAAATAACAGCATTCCATATCATAATATTATTGTCAGTAGGTGCACCAGAAACTCCAGTTGGTGGATCCTCTTGTAACCTAAAAAATCAATAATAAATGAGAATTATTATGAAACACAACCTCCATTGTAAAATAATTTAATCACGTTTGATGCTCGTGTTATCGCTCCTTACAATCATGTAATTTATTATCGATTATATTTAATGCATTTAATGTTTTTATATTACTATACACAACTCATGAATTATTGACATTTTTTACCAACACGATGAGATCAGCGAACAAATAAAATAAAAACTTTTAATTGAAATAAACTAAATGTATGCAAAAAAATGCAAGATGCAGTAGCTTCTGAATTATTCTCTATCAATGTCACAGCGATCATCGATCGTTTAGATGTAGGAGTTCAACACAGCGTGTTGAAGCATGAAAGGTGGGAGATATAAATATAAATAAGTTTTAAGTATCCTATCGTTTATTTCTAAGAATAAATCCGCCCATGGCAACGCGACGACGATGCTCCGGATGACGTTCTCGATGAAAAGTCTAGAGTACCAATGTGCAAACGTATGCGTGCAGATTTTCTACACTGCACAACACTTTCTCAATTGATTCTTTCGTTTTATAAAATGGATTCACTCTCTCCACTTTATTCTCTCACTGTCACCGATACATTCTCTGGTGATATCGTACCTTTTGAAATCTCTCATGAGTCTTCGTCGTGCTGGAGTAGACATTTCTGAGTGTGTGCCCCACGAATAAAATCAGTCGGACAAAGTCTGGCAATGCTTTCGATGACCTCTAGGTACTGACGCAGTTCTAATGTCTGCTTGTGGTCTTTTAGAGATGAAATATTCAACGACACGTTTTGTTTCAGGTATTTTGATGCTTCAAAGACTAGGTACTGATTGTATAAAGAACTCAGTCTTCAATTGCAACGTATATAGAACTCAAGTAGGAGCTTTTGTCAATTCTGAAGGTCGCCCTCTTTGCACAATACCGTTACGCGCTGTCGAAAAGTCTCTTCTCACTTCCGTGTGCAAACAACACAACAAAATTCTTTAGATCACTAAACTCAGTTTGTCTTGGATAATTACAATTGATCGAGTGTTAAGGGAGGGTCTCTGAAGACTCTACACCCGATTATCATGAAAACGTATTATGACGGACACTAGCTATAGCACTCTGTCGGGAATTTTCGATGTTCTAATATATACGAAAGAGTTAAGACTGCCAAAACGATCTTGGACATGGAATTACAGACCTGATAGAGGGGAACTTGCTCATATGACGTCATTAAATTTAATCACTAAACAACCAATAGTTTTCTTGCTAGATGTTGAGTTCTTCTTTATTTCCAAAATGGTGACTCGTGTTTATGAATTTAAATAACCTCCAGAGCGCGCCACGCTAGAATTCTGACACAGTCGATGACGTTTTCTAGGAATTTTTTATTTTTTGTTAGTAAATTATCGAGAAAATTTACTAGAAAAATACCAAACAATCGGCCATTTTGGTGTTTCGCTTTAGCGGAAAGAGTTCTTGCTAAAGCAAAATGAAGTAAGTTATGTTATTGAATGATTTTTAATCCGAAAGTATTTGTGCAATCTTATGAATTTGATTGAGAATACTTTTGTTTTAATGTGGAGTGATAAAATGGCTTTAATTTATTCACAATCATTTCAGGATCGGACTGTGTGCATACAGTGGGTACAAAATTTACCCTGGCCATGGGAAAACCATGGTTAAGGTGGATGGAAAGGTGTGTGATAATTTATAATACATTTCTAAAAATTACATAAAAAAATGCATTTATATCATGTTAATAAAAAAAATTTTATTACTATTGTATGTTTTGCAATGTTTATCACAACATGTATGTGACAAAACTTAACCTATATTTGTCATGTTTTCAGACTTTTACCTTCCTCAATTCAAAATGTGAATCTGCTCACTTGATGAAGCGTAACCCTAGAAAAGTAACATGGACTGTTCTTTACAGGTATGCCCCATAAAATATTAAATTAATTTACTCAATTGTGTCAAACAAGTTGGCAATTAATGATTTTATTTGTTAGGCGTAAGCACAAGAAGGGTCAGGAAGAAGAACAAGCCAAACGAAGGACGAGGAGAACACAAAAGTTCAATCGTGCTATCGTTGGAGCTTCTTTGTCTGATATTCTTGCTAAGAGGAATATGAAGCCTGAAATCAGGAAGGCTCAGAGAGATCAAGCCATCAAGTGAGTATTTCAACTACATCAAAATGTATTCTCGGAACGAAACAATGCCTAGTTAATATAATCCTTCAAATGTTTTATATTAACTAAAATATGCAAGATAGACATCTGTTCCTCAAACACAATTCATAACATTGTGTTCGTTTTCAGAATGTCTTAGAATAAAAATAGAGCTGCTTCACCCAGAATTGTATTAAAAATTACACTGTTTGGTTTTGCGGGTTCTAACAATTGAACATATATATTTAAAATTGTTTTTCACTTGCTAACATGAATATGTGTATTAATTTATTGCTGTGATTTCTAAACAGAGTCGCTAAAGAACAGAAAAAGGCCGCAAAAGCTGTAAAGAAAGCAGCTCAACCTCCTAAACCGAAACCCACGAAGAAAGAAAAGGCCACAAAGGTTACACAAAAGAGTGCACCACGTGTGGGAGGAAAACGATAATTTTTCGGTATATAAAAAATAAATAAACTTATAAAATTGAAAATGATATTGTTAAAAGTTCTATTTAAAATAACCATGATTTTCTTTTTACTCTATAAGTATCAAAAATGAAATATTTTTATCGTCTTCAAGACACTAAATTCATAAAAAGTACATTTTATCATTTCACAAATAATATCAAAGAAATATTTTATTTTTATATAAAACAATTATTGACTCATTTATAAATCGGAACTTTTTACAACAATTGAAATGCAACTCAGTTTTCGTCTTAGTTTTTCTTATCATTAAGCTCTTTCTTCAAAATCGACAGCTTAGTTAAAGCAAGATCTCTCCAATCACGCCTTTCTTGCAATTTATCCAATGGACACATTTCTTCCAGTTGTTTAGAAATATTTTCCGCAGCAGGCCCAATGAACTTTGGTGTTGGTCCAAAGGTTTGACTCACATCATAGATTGATTTATTGTACGTTTCACAGTACTTTTTCATGCCTTAGAAAAAAATATAAAAAAAAAACTCATCAATGATTATTATTATTATTAACAATCATTCATTGTAAACGCTTTCTGTAGGAGGATACAGGTCAACCCTCATCGCGAAAAATGTAAGGTATGGAATGTATTATACCTTCGGCATTTAGGTGGGCAGCTTCAAATGCTCCTATAAATGCGTAACGCATTCCTAAACCCTCGCTCATAACTGTGTCAATATCCTTGACACTAAGAACTCCGTCAGTCACCAGTCTCCAAGCTTCATTGAGGATAGCATACCTAGAATAATTAAGACATTGATAATAGTTTCTCTGCTTTCTCTTAAATTTATGATTAATAAATATTCTTTAAATTTAATACGTTTGCTTTAGAGATAAGAAAAAATAGCTGAGTTAATAATTACTGGATTCTATTAAGTGCAAAGCCATCAATTTCTCTTGTAAATACCACAGGTGCTTGACCAATTTCAGTCATAATCTCTTTAGTTTTCTCTGGAATATCAGCTCTGGTCCAGGGACTTGGTACAATTTCCACCAATGGTACGTAATAAGGTGGATTTACCTGAAAAATTCATGATATCTTAGCAATTAGAACAATCAAGGAGAATTATTTTTTTTAATAACAAAAAATAAATATAGAATTTATCAACTACGTATTCTTATCACATTTTTGTACGTAGACCGTAAATAGATTACATCACAAATGGAGATCATACTTATCAGAATTTTTTAAATATCCGTACTATAAATAACAAAAGTTTAAAATTAATGAGAAAACTTACAGGATGTGAAACGATAACTTGTGCACGGTGTTTAAGATTTTCACTAAATAATGAAGGTCGAAAGGTGGATGTTGAAGAGGAAATTATTGTCTTATCATCAACAAGTTTATCTATCTCTGTATAAAGTTTTTTCTTAAGATCCAACTTCTCAGGGATACATTCTTGGAGGAGTTTAGCATCCTTCACTGCATCGGCTAAACTTAAAGTCCCTGGAAAGCAATTCAAACTTAAATTATAAATTCTAAAGTTTGAAAACTATAAATAATTATTACTGATAAAAGTAATAACATTAAGAAAACTATTGGAATAAAATGAATTTAAGTAGATAAATAAATAGAGAAAAAAAATATTACCTTTAATTAACGCAAACTGTTGATTAGCATTAAGTTTACCACGAAGTAGTTTATCAGCTTCGAGTTTTTTCAGCTGATGATGAATATCTTTCAAAGCATTATTAATCTGGTCTTGAAGAATATCATAAATTACCACATGATAACCAGCACTGGCGAATAACATGGCCCAACTGCGTCCAATTAATCCACTAAATAAATAAACAATTTATTTCTCATTAATACAATAATCATAAATGCTGAAATTAAATTTTAATTATGATATAATATAATAAATAAATATTATCACCTGCCAACAATTCCAATTTTCTCATTCTCCGCCATTTTATCAGCAGCCAAACAATGATTAAGCTTCTGGAATCACTTAAGGAATGTGATACTGCAAGGAGGGTTCAAATCAGCTGTGAATAAGTTCTACATCAACTGAATACTTGTTAAGTAGACTACACTTATATATACATGTATCAATTTCCCCTTCTCATTTAATCAATTCGATTATATATGTATGTCATTCTATTTATCTGCAATAGTTTTGAACTGTTTTATCATGTTGGAATACAGATCAAATAGCCAATGATATTGAAGATCATTAGATAATTTTGATAATAACAACAAACATTATGATAACAGGATATTTTATTACTATATAAAATAATGATAAAACAACTAAAGGTATTTATTATTTCATTTGTTTTTTAAATTTATGCAAATGATTTTAACAAGTGAATTCTGACTATGAAGTTACGTCAAATTCACACATTTGTTTGTGAATTCAAACGTAAAAGATCATTATTTACTTTTCTTAGCTGACTTTTTATTTTTGTGGTGGTTGTTGATGATTTATTGTGAATTAATATTTAAATTTTGATAATAATTATTAATTAATAATAATAAATATCATTGGATATTTATTTATAGGCAAAATTGTCTTCAGCTGTTTAGAAAATTATAATGAAGATTAATCATTGGCATTTAATCTTTTGTATTTTCAGTAAGATTAGTTTAAATTCTTTGTTTATATTAAATAATAAATTTTAAAAATATTATTTAGAAATTTTAGTCACTTCAGCCATGGATATTGAAATTAAAAATGCAGGAGACATTGTTTCAATATCGGAAGGAGGAATTTTAAGTACCACAAAGGAACCAGATAATAAATTAACAACTTCTGTTTTACATTATTGTAATAACTTTCAAAATCTACTTTTAATTTATGTTAAAAGTATTTCAGTTTCTTGAATGTTTTTTTTTCTCTGTTCGCTCTAGTAATTAATAATGAACAAAAAAAAGTTAGACGCTGGAAAAGAAAGTCTCCTTTGAGTAAAAGGATGCACCGAGTTAAAAGACGTCATCATTCGCTAGCATCATTTCCAAAAGAGGGATCTGTTTTATCATTTTCTTTTAATTCCAAAGAGATGAAAAGACATTCAGAAAATGATACTTTACAAACTATGATTAATCTTACCCAAGAATTGATCAACTTTAATAAAATTTCAAGCTCTTTGTTATCACAATTGCCCGCAGTAGGTATTCATAATAATAATTCAAACACGTCTGAATTGATGATGAGTAAAAATACTAAAGAAGGAAAAGATAAAAGTCTTGATAATAATACAAACAATCCAGGTAAACAATTGCAGATATTAATAATTTATTTCATTAATTTTTTTTATGATATTTAACTTATATATTACTATTATATCAAGATTTGTTCTTTATTTATGGTTGATATTATTTTTAAGAATCTCCAGTAAAAATAGAGATACCAATAACTTGCACCAAATCAAAGAATTCAAGCTCTCATGCATGTAACCAACACTCTTCAAATCTTAATGGTTCATTGATCAACATTGAGCTGTCATCGTCTGCAAAGAATATCCCTGTCCAGAACAAGCTGTTGGCTTTGTCCACAGCCTTTAATGCATCAGCAAACATCCAACATCAATCAATGTCTACTCATGCAAGTCTCAAGAGCACAACAAAGTCGTCAACTTTAACGAAAAGGCGAGTTCCTAAGTTTCTACAAGGAACAAACAATGACACTACTCAAACTAGTTTACTTATTATTGATGGCTTTGGAGTTTTTGACCATGGTGTAGAAGATATTCCCGTTATTCCTGAGCATGTCGATAATATCAAAACACGAGTCCCTCCTGCTTTTGATATTTTTGGAAACAATAAAAATGCCCGATGGCCAGATGATGAATGGAAGCAATGGAATTATTGGAATGTCGAATCAGAAAAATTGGAGAAAGCTCCAGAACTGTTTCATGGTAATAAACTGGTCTCCAAACAATTTACTACAAAACATTAATGTTATTGAGTAATATTAATTTACCAAAATTAGATCAACACTTACTATGGGCACCAAGAGATAAATCAGAAAAGTTGGAAAAATTACCAGAAACCTTAGATGGTAATGAGAATATTTAATAATTTATTGCTTCCTAAAAAATTAATCTTGAATTAGCACATTTATTTGAAAGTTAATTAATTTTATATGCAAATATTAGATACTTCACCTTGGATATTGAAAGACAATATTCCCGCTCCAATGTTACCTAAAAACCAACACATAAATTACTTCATTAATAAACAAAACATGGACTCAAATATTAAGATTGTTCAACCACCTGATGAGAAGAACGAAACACGAGTAGCTAGAAAAGCAAATCCCAAAGGAAACTTTCAACCGACTTTTTTATCAACATTCTACAGTTTGTTAAATGATTTATAAATGATTTTTATCAAGATTTATAAATACAATTTTTAGATTTCAATGAACGTATCTATTTCTTTGATAGTTTCACTTGTAGTCTGTGGATTTTTCTTTGCGATAGCAGTCTGGTGGAGAAGATATACAATTAATAAAAGAGCAAATTTTATAACAATCAGTGATACATTACACTCATCAACACCTCGAGATTCTAATAAACCACTTATTAATTATTGAGTTTAATATTATTATTAATAAATTATCATATAAATTTGTGTCTTTTTGAATCTTATTAATATTCAAAAATATTTTCATTCTTTTTTTTTTGCTTTCGTCCTTTCTTTTACAAGAAAAATAGTCATTCAGTTTGATTATTGATGATATTCATTGAACGATGATACAAAAAATGTCCTTGGGATAAACCAAATTCAAAAATTATATAACAATATTATTCATCAGCTCTTCAGATAAAAAAAGTATAAAAAATCATACATATTATTCTTTTTACAGCAATTATAATTTTTAAATTTATTATGAATACAATAGAAATTGAAAGCTTCCTTTCTTTGGGATTTCCCAACATACACAAGCTCAGAATCCTTTTTATTTACTCTAACCCCACTTTGTTGATTATATTTGCAATGCGAACAGCAGCGACATACAACTGCGTAATTTCATTGGTCAGCTACAGTTGTCTATCCAGCTCGGGGAAGAACCTGCAGTTTGTAATCATCAAGGATTTTTATGACGTATCTGCAGATAACTTGATGCAAATAATTTAGAATGCGGTGAGTCGTTTAATTGAACGTATCATTTATTAGTGTTGTCTCAAAAGTGATCATTTTGTTGTTGAAATAATTATTTACAACAATTAAACTTTACAACTGAAGAAACACATCTCCAAAGTCATCCTAACAATCAGTTATTTATATTACAAGTTTTGTGTTAAAAATGCCAATTATTTATAAAAATATTGATGCATTAACAAATGCTCTACCTGATTCTACAAGTTTTTATCAATATGGTTATGGTAACATATCAATGAATAATGATAAAAAAAATGTTATTCTAGCCTCTCGAATATTTAATAATGTTTTTAAACATGTGTTCAAGTGACCAATTATTAAACCGGTTATCAAAATTTTAGAATTCCCTTTTTAATAAATAATATATCATAAAATTATAACCTCTAAGGAATATCTTTTTGTATTATTTGATAAATAAAATTGAAACTTAATCTTATTATTAATTATTGGAGGCAAAACAAAACATCTTTAGTTTTAGTAAGGTTATGATCATAAATTTACAGATAATCTAACTCCTATGATGAACAGTCCCTACCACAGCAGTTCAACAGAATCACCATCAGTTGGAAGTATGGCATCTCCAGATCCAAACGTTTCTTTTCTCAGAGATGATGATAATTTTAGTTTAAATTTCAATAACCAAATAATTAATCTAAATAACACAACAGGTAAAAAGGACTTTAATTGAAGTATTTTTTAAAGTGGTAGATTCAACAATAAATGTTTGATGTTTTAGCTACGATGTTAGAAAGCCCAGAGCTAGTAATTCTTGACCAGCCTATCGAGAAATTTAGATTCAGATATAAATCTGAGATGATGGGAACTCATGGAAGTCTTGCCAGTGCTAATTCCACCACTAGAAGAAAACGACATGCTCCAACTGTTCAAGTAAATATTCTAGTAAATTAAATATTTCATGTGCATTATTCACAATGATGCTGATGTTGTCAATTGGTTATATAGCTACGGAATTTCCCAGGCAGTGCAATTATTCGTTGCAGTATTGTTACAAAAAATGAAGATAGACGTATGCCTCATGCTCATCATCTTGTCAAGAGAGAAGGTAATACTGAAACTGATCAACCTTATGAAGTTGAAGTCTCAGCAGTAAATAATTGGACTGCTACGTAAGTAACTTAAATAATGAAGATAAGAATGATAATTTTATTATTACCCCATTTTAATATAATTTTACTCCAAAAAATAATATTTTATATTTTGATATTTTTTATTAAGATTCCATGGAATGGGAATAATTCACACGGCTAAAAAACATATTAAAGATGAACTCATTAAGAAATTGAGAGCAGAAGCTCTTGAAAAACATCGACAAATTGATCATACAGTTCAATGTCTTAGTGTTCGAGAAGAAACTCAGGTATTGGAATGTTTTGGATTCAAATATTTGATTTAATTAAAAAGATTTATTATTATAATCATTTTTACGAATAATTTCATTGTTTCTAGATTAAAATGGATGCAGAAAGTGCTCAAAAATGGATGGACTTGAATAGCGTTTCATTGGCATTCCAAGCCTACGTTCCAAATGAACATGGTGTCATGTGCCCTTTAACTGCTCCTGTGTATTCTCATGTCATCAATAATCTTAGTAAGTTGAAGGGTGTTTTTTTAAATATCATTTAATTATAATTCATTGTAAGTAATTATAAATTAAAAATTTTTTATTTGTTTAGAAAGTGCCTTAACAGGAGAATTAAAAATATGTCGTATTGATAAATATGTCAGTAGCTGTGATGGAAACGAAGAGGTTTTTTTACTTGTTGAAAAAGTTGGTAAAAGTGAGTCATATCCTTCTATAGCTTTTTATCAATATCGGAGTACCGATTAAAAATACTGATGTAATATTTATTTATTATCTCTTAGAAAATATTAAAGTTAAATTCTTCGAAGTCGACGAGAAAGATAACGAAATTTGGAGTGCGTATGGTCGATTTTCTGAGCTTGATGTCCATCATCAATATGCGATAGTATTTCGGACCCCTCCTTATAAAGATCGCAATATTACAGAGACAAAAGAAGTATTTGTGCAATTAGAAAGGCCAACTGATGGAGATTGTTCGGAGCCTGTAAGATTTACTTATAAACCAACAGAAAATATTTTAGGGAGAAAAAGGCCCAGAATGTCCTATTCTGAAAATATTGATCTTGCTGAACCAATACTTCCAGATACAACAATGTCGAAAAATATATTTGCATTTGAAAGTGCAACTCCTAGTGAATTATCAGCAGAACTTAAGAAATTAACTGTCGAAAAATGTGATTCTGCTGAGTATCTAGAGTGTTTAAAAAATATTGATTTTGATCAGTATATATACTTTGCTTCATCTAATCCTTATAGTAATGGTGATGAATTTGACGATGAATTAAGCACCGATGGTCCACGTCGTAAAGGTCCAATTGCAGACGGACCTCACTTTGCTAGTAATTTATTACGAGAAGCATTAAAGCATTCTCGAAATGATCCAGAAGCGATGCGAAAATCTTTAAAAAAAATTTTAAAAGAACGTACCTCTTATGGAGATACTCCATTACATTCAGCACTTCGTCATGGTCAACGAGAGGTGGTTAAACATATTTTATCAATCATTAGCTCATCACCAGAGTTTAAAGAATTCGTCGACATGGGGAATGCATCAGGAAAAACTCCTTTGCAGTATGCAGTTATGTTGAACCAACCCGTTGTCGTTAACGCTTTACTAATGTTGGGTGCTGAGCCTAATGTGTGTGATAATCATGGATCATATCCTCTTCACGAAGCAGTAAAAAATCCCAATGCTTGGGAGTGTGTTAGTGCTTTATTGAAAGGTAAAGCTGATTTTAAAGTAAGAGATGATGCTGGTTGGACTCCTCTACAGTTAGCAGCAGAAGCTGGATCACTACGTGCTATTCAATTACTTGTTGAAGCTGGAGATGATGTTAATAGTGCTGAGAGATCTTTTGGGCGGACACCACTTCATATAGCTGTTGAAGGAGGACATGTTGAAGTTGTTCGTTATTTTTTAGAAAAGGTAATGATTTTATGTTTTTTTAAAAATAAAATTAAATTATAGAAAAATTAATTAATGCTCTATCAAATTTTCTTTCTTTCAGACAAATGTTAAAGTTAACGAAAGAAATTTAGGTAGAAATACAGCTTTACACACAGCTCTTGTCAATACGGGATCACGTGCTAAAGAAATACGTGCACTTCTATTGAAACATAATGCTGATCCATCAATACCAAATGGCCATGGAAAGATTTATGAACGTGAACTTATATTTGATGATGAACACCCACAAGAAACCATCAAAATAAAGGAAGAAGTAGAGGAAGAGGATGACGATCCACTAGATAATGAAACTTATTCTGAATTTGCATCTGAAAACGATGAGGTAATAGACAAATAAATTATCTTTAAATTTTTATTTTTATCTATTATTATTTATTTAAGTAAAGAAAAATTTGTCATCTCTTCATTGATGTTTTTATAGATAGGAAATTTATTGAGAGGAGCAGAAAAAAATTATAGTGAACAAGAAGAATCAGGAACACGTGAGATAAAAGAAGAAACTAAGGAAGAAAGAGGAACCATCACAGAATGGTTAGATGTAGATCAAATGGCTACTTTGGGTAATATCTTGGAAAAAAATGATGGATGGAAAAAACTCGCTAAGAAGCTGGGCTGTGATTATCTTTCAAGTTCACTTGAAAATTCTGGAGCAAGTCCAGCTCTGACCATTCTTAGCTATGCTGATGTAAGCATCAAATGCAAATATTTATCACTTTGAGCTTATTAATTTCACTAACATCATTAGTTAGATCATTGTTTTTAATTTTCAATTGTTTATAAATATCTCAATATTAAGTATTAATATATAATTTATTATTTTATAGGTTCAAGGCAATTTGACGATAGAAAAGCTTGTTGATTTATTGCAACAATTGAAGCAAACGGAAGCAGTAACATTCTTGCAGGATGTAACGCGAAATCAGAACTTAAATATGTAATTTTACTTTGAAAATTTCATAATTTATAGTTAAAGTTATATTAAAAATCATGTGTGATTTTTACTGTTATATTCTTTCGTAAAATTATTATTAATACGATTAATTTAACATCTGACCAAATCAATTAATGGATGTTTTGAGAAAGATGTATGTACATAATATAATTGTATTGTTTTTAAAAATTTATTGATAAAAATATTTTGTTACTTTAAACAAATAGAATAAATCGTGTATTTTAAATACAATATTTTTTTGTGTTTTTTAAATTTAAATTTCAAATGATCTTTAAACTTGTTGACAACAGTAGATAAGTAAGATTACATTATTATTTTAGATGATAATTAGAATAATTAAAAAAGTTTAGAAAGCTGTTCTAAAAAATTTGTTTATAATAATTAATTTAAATTTTTCTAATACACTTTATATTAAAAATTTTAATTTTATCATAAAAATGATTTAGTAATAAACTTTGTAAATAAATAAGCATATACTTTGTGAAAGCGTGTAATCCCAAGCATACTTGGAGTGGTAAATAAATCAGCTGATGTATGTGACAAGTCATAAAAGAAATTTACATTTCAAAAATTTTTCATAATTAAAATGGTGAGACTAGTATATGCAGAAGAGTGTCTTTTAAATTATTTAGAATCATTAGCACAATCGGATGCTTACACTGTGGGGTTAATTTTAGGACAGGTTAGAATTTACAAATTACTCATACATTTTGTTAAACTCATACCAGCTGTTCTTTGATAAATACTCAATTTACTCCAAAATGTTTATTTAATAAACAATTTGAAGTTAATCAAAAATTTTTTTTTATTTATGTTTTTTATTCTGGATATTTTATTTAGAGTACTCCAGATAAAGATTATGTGATACATTTGGCAAGAACTCCGCCTCCAGCATCAAAAGATGTCATTGAAGAACCTTTAATTGGTTCCCAAACGAGTACCCAACACGAATTATCACCTAAATTCATCAAATCTATCAATGATGTACCTGGAAGTTGGGTTGCTGATCATGCAAAGCATGTATGTTTATATTTAAAATGTTAAAAAATATTTTATCATTCATTCTTAAAAGTTATAATAATTTTATTATGATTTATTTTTTAGGTTACACGAATGCTTCCAGGAGGAATGTGGATATTGGGGATATTTATCATCGGACCAGAAGATTGTTTAAATAACAATGATTCCACACAAAGACTGAAGTCAATTATCACAATGATTCATAGGAATGTAGAATCTGATCCATATTTATTTGGAACCAATCCTCATGACAGTATCATTCTTGCATTTAACAGTAGAACAAAAAAGTATGATCTTCATGATAGATTTTTATAACTCGAAATTAATTTAATCGATCTTACATTTCTGATTATTTACAGATTTTCCAGTAAATCATTTAATGATAAAGAGAACGGAATATTGAAACCAACAGAATGGAAGTTTCAGCCAAAACCAACAAAATGGTATCAATTAGATACTCACGTAGATTTTGATCAAATATTTCCAATAATAAAAAGTTTACAATCAGAAAATCTAAAACAGCAGTTTCAAAATATTTTAGAAGATGTTTCAAATAAAATAGAATCAGGAATTGTTGTGATAGAAAACGAACCAATGGCTCAAAGTGATGCAATTGATATTTTGGGAGAGAAAAAGAAGAAGGATAAAAAAGAATCAAAAAGTAGTGATTCTACTTCCAATAGTAGAGCATTAAAAGCTGTCATTTACATTCCAAGTGTTAGTATCAGTATAAATTATTTATACAATGTTTTATTAAGTAGCTATTAACTTCTATTAATAAACATTAATCCCATCTTTGTTATTCACAGACGCCTATTAAATCATCAAGCTCGCACATTAAGCGTGAACATTTCAGTGCCTCAATACGACTGTTAGGTCAGTTATCAAGCAGAACTTTTGTTCATCAATCATCAACAATTGGAGATGCTACAAATGCAATTAAGCAAGATATCATGAGATCGATGGCTAGTAGGCTTGAAATGCATTGGGATAGTTTAATTGAAGAAGAAAATGCACTTCCAGAAGGTACTCATCTACCAATTACTTAAATATATTTATTATACCAACAAAAAAAAATTAATGATGGATTATTAAATTTATCTAGATAATATAACTCTTCATGAGCCACCAAGGCGAGTCTTAGTTGCACTGCCAAAAAGTAAAATAACTTTATCGGACTATCTTTTTCCTGGAGAAGGTCCTCAGGAAGCTCTGATTTCTCTTCAAGAGCTTCTAGACTTAGAAGTACAAGAAAGTAGTGTTCAGAAAGAGTTTGAACTTCAAGCAGATCCTTCAGAATTTTATTGTCAAAATGACATAATAACAGAGCCAACTGAACAGAAAAAATTAAAAGAAAATAACAAATTATTTTTATATATCTCAGGTATTGGTGTAGCAATAATTATCGTAATTATCGCAATTTTAATACGTTATTTATATTAATTTATCTGTAATTTGATGTAATATTCAAATTCAAATAAAATAAAATAATGATTTTATATTGTTCAAATTATAAATAATAATTCACGGTGGAGACAAGTGAAACAAAAATTGTATACACTATAAATAAATTATGGTACATATTTCCATTAACATATCATTGAGATCGGTTTTTTTATTGAAACATTTTTACACGATGTATATGAAATAATACTAAATTTAAAGTCAACTAAAATTTAACAAAAAGGAATGATAATTAAATATAGAATAGTACGGAATGATTGATAGTCATACTCATTTAATTAACTTGCATTATATTATAACATAATTATTTTTTTTTTTTTGTTAATAATCGCTATTAAGTAATATACGTTTATTGAATTTATATACACGTAAAGTCATTATTCACAACGTATGTACAGACAAGAACAGCCGTTTATCATTCAAACGTGGCAGTTAATAATTAATTACTCGTTCTATATTAAATTTGCTAATTTTCTTTCACTTTTTACGATATTGATGAAAATACTTATTCTAATTACATTTAAAAAGGTACAAACGAGATCTACGCATTAATTGTTTACATGCGATACAATTTTTAACGCAGTAAGCATGAAAGTTCCAAATACAAAATTGTTTATTTCTTTCTCAAGGCAATAGTTAATTTTAATATTTCCCTTTTATTATTTTTAATCTATATTTCTTATTATTCATTTTAATTCATAAATTATTTCACATATTTCTTCAATAAAATTTATTTCATTTAAAACAATTGAAAGCCTTTAAAAAAATCTTTTATATTTTTGTTCGTTATGCTATTCAATTTTAGGCTTTCATCAAAGTCATGGAAAAGTCAGGTCAATTCTGAACATTTTAATTTTCTTCTTATTTACATAAACTTCATTTCTGTTAACACTGTACATCTTTAAGACAAGTTTCATGATACTATTTATTTATTTGCAACACTTTTATACTTTATGCACCCTTTTTCCCCAATCTAAAAGACTTCCAGTGATCAAGACATAACAAGTACATAACTCAATTGATTGTGCGTAGCTATGTATACATCATCAAGTAATTTTACAATATAACCAATTTATTCTTTTATATATTAGGTAATGTTTCGTTTAAATTTATTAATTGTATCAATTCCATTTTTTATTTAATATTTACTGGAAATAATCACATTCCTACATCTGTACATAATGCTTTCACGATAATTAATAAACTATATTTCAATCTTATCCTCTCTTAATACAAATGCAAGGGAGTATAAAGAAAAATATAAATTGTCATCTGAAGTGGGGGAGAAAAATCACATTTTAAAAGTAATCACAACTTTTGCTTCACAATTTTTAATATAAAATCATAATTAGCTTCAGTAAATTGTTCATCAAAAAGAAATAATAATAAATTTACTTAAATATTTTTGATTATCACAAGTCCAGTTTAATTAAAAAAAAACTGTTCTTCATTTGAATTAAATCAATCTTATCGTTCAGTGATTTAATAAAAAGTAAAATAGAATATGAAGGAATTCTACCTCACTTCAGAACAGAATTAGCCAGTACTGAGGCATCAAAGTTTTACACATTGTTAGTCTAATACTAAATAATAGTTGAGGCACTAAAACTAATTGTGATTTAATTGATGACAATAACAGATGATTGAATGATACAATATAATAAAAAAAGCTATCAAAATGATTAGTGAATTTCCATTCGTTGTGTCATCATGTGACAATAGAAATATAAAAATTAATCACATATCATAACAGTGGAAAAAATATTTAAATTCCCTACACCAATGACACCATCTCCAGGATCGTGTTTATCTCATTTTTTATATCACTAATTTTTTTAGATTGTTTAATTAATTTTAATTTATCCTAATTTATTATTTTACAATTTTCGTTACTTAATAATTAATTAATTTAAACAACTCCCATTTTTATTAGACCTGTTTGACTGCCACGACCGACACTAGATTCTTCTAATGAATCTAAATCAAGTGCAGACTCGATCATTGTTGTGTCTTGTAAAAGTCGGAGTTTCGAAGCTGATAATGGTGTTACTACAGTAATCTGTGATGATGTTGTGTCTAAGACAGGTGGAACAATGACACTCTGTCTCGGTGGAAGTGGAGCAATATCATCGATGTCAATTGGTGGAATATTTAATGATGCCAATGGTACTTCATTGGTGACAAGATGACTTACACTATTTGTCGTGCTTCCTAGAAAAAAATTTAATTTATTTTAATAATCATCTCAAATTAATTCCTTTCTTTAAAACTTTAAAATATTTATTAAATTCAACTGGAATAAATAACACTAGCTATTATTAATAAAAATAAACATGTAAAAGCCCTAGAATGCATTAAACAAAGATAATTATCTAGAAGTAAAACTTTCATGCTAATAATTTTATAAAAATATTCAACTATTGGCTATGAAGTAAATTTTATTTCTAGACAATTATCAACAACTGAATCTCGCTAAAAAAAGTAATTAAAATTATTAATAAAACATCAAATTAAATATTTACAAGGAATAACAACCAGTAATTATCAATGATTATGAAAGCCCTAGAATGCGTTAAAAAAAAAAAAAAATAATCCTATCCAACAATTAAATATAATAAAAATGTAATATTTCTATTATAAATTAGTTACAAATGATATGAAAAAACTGATTAATACATGTGCTCATATAAATCACAACCTAGATAATCAAAACTGTTTAAAGTGATTAACAAAAGCCACTTGGTTATCAATGATAACTGAAATTATTTCTAGACTGAAATAAAAAAAAAAAAGAAGACGTTATAATACTTATTAATTATTTCTTGAAATTTCCTAATATGACACTTCTTTAAAATAATAAATGAGTAATTAACTGAGTCTTCTTTTTTTATAAAAAAAAATGAATACTTTGAATGATTTAACAATGATTGAATTATGATGATGATTAATAATAATTATTGTTATTAACTGTGCATCAATATGCAAGTGATGATGGACTTACCGAACGGCACGGACAGAGCCCTCGATAATAGGTCGTAATTATAAACAAAGAAACACGTTTTATTGACTTATCATTGTAAAATGAACGTGTTATTTAGATTACAAAGATACTTAGACTTATATTGCATTTTCAAGGTTATTTTATCTCTCAAACGAGTTTATATTAAATCCTTGTTAATAAGTGTTAATCTCTTTTAAACACAATTATTATTTTTATTTTCAATTTCATTTATCTGAGTGAAGGATTTTTTTGTCGTCAATATGATGTCTCAATAAAAAGTGAGAAATATTTGTGCGAGTGTGATGAGAATTAAGTAATCATTGTCAATCATTGTCACTCAATGAATTAATAGCATAACGACGATTTAGTAAACTATCCTCCACGTTTTCTTCAGAGTATAAAGCATTTTCAGTATATATCATATCATGATTTAATGGTACAGAACCGAATCTATTAACTACTAGACCGATCGCGGTTTGGCCAATCATTGGAATATTTCCTGACCCTAAAATTCTATTAGGTAAAATATTCTTGGTGATTGGATATTTAAAGCCATGTTGATTACATCTGAGATTATTGTATTTAATTGTCTGAGGTGAATAACGTGGCCGCGGAGGATCTTCACTGTAACGTTGTGGAAATTTTTGTAAATCTACTGTTGTTCGATATTCATCTTCTCTGTACCTTAATAAATCTTCAGAATATCCCCGTGGATATCTTTGGAGATCAACTCCATATTTATGTTCAACCGTGTATTGATCATAAATCAAATTATTGTCAGAGCAACGTTGAAATTCATCTCGACATCTTTGCGGATATTTTTGAAAATTTTCCTCACATCGATAATTGAATTTTTGCACTTGGACATTTAGGCGTTCTATTTCGGCCGCATAAGTATCATCAGGTTGCACGCGATCTTGAGCGCAACGTCTTGGTGTTGGATATTTTAGAATGTAAGTGTCATTTGTGTGTTGGTGGTATTTAGATAAATCATCCGGACAGTGTGAAGCCTGACTCATTATTGATAACTCACCGTTGAGTGATTCTATTCGTGGTGAACGCTGTCCAGAGACGAGATTATTCATCGAACTTGTTAACTCACTTTCCAAATGTACTTTTTGGATACCATGTCCGTTTGCCTATTTGAAAAAAAATTTATTAGTTACACCAAATAATAATAATGGAATAGTTTAATATTTAATCATTAAAAAAAATATATATTGGTATTTAATGACATTAAAAGACGATAAAAAAAAATGTCTGAAGTTTTTGTAATTTTCCAAGCGTATCTCATTGACAAGTTGTCTGATTATGATCAACTAAAGTGCAAATTAAAAATAATTTTCTCTTACTAGATAATTGTTCATGAACACAAATCTATTATACTTCTTTAACCTTGAAAAAATAGTTTCTATAATTTATTTCTAAGCTTTCAAATCATTTAATTCACTTCAAATCTGTAATTTATTTAAATAAATTTAATTACCTGTGGTTGCACTACTTTAACTGTTCCATAAGCTTTATTATTAGCAAGAACATAGTCATCACCAGTTTTTTCACGCTCAGCTCTGTAACCAGGAGTCACGATTCCCCTTCGATCTAAAAGAGTAATTGAATTTAAATAATCAATTATTCTTTATTGATTAAAAAATTTTAAGAATAATTTTAATAGCTTTATTAATATCAATTACCAATTAGACTTGGAGGTGCAGGGCCACAGAGAACATAAAAACAGTTGCCACAAATATTTCCTTGACTGTAGGGGTTAAAGCCTTCTTGTTCACGTTTACTTGAAAATGAGCCTTTTATCTAAAACAAATAAATAAATGTTCCGAATATAAGTTATTGTTTCCATTATTTATGATACTGATAAAAAAATAGTGATAAGAAAATGTGAATTACATCTTCATTAGTGGTTTGATTACTGCTTGTGAGGTATGTATGAAAACCAGCAAGACCCAAGATGCTCCAAACGGAGAAAAAACAGACAACACCAACAACAACACTTCCTGGAGACATTTTAATAGCTTCTAGAAATTGTTTATCGTCTCTTGTGACTGTAATTAATTGAAAGTGAAAAAAAAAACCAATTAATTATAAGGTCAGAAAAGTAATAATTTCTGAAGAAAAATCATAAAATTTTTGAAAAAGCACTTACGCATAATTAAATGTGTTATCGCACAAGCGAAGATAAAGACGCATAGAAAGGCCAAGGACACGATAAACGCATAAAAATATCTATAATTTCGTCGACCTACACAATTACCGACCCACGGACAATGATGATCGAATCCTTCTGAAAATGATATTATAAAAAATTACTAAATCAAATTAACCTTATGAAAAAGCTAATGATATACAATTCTAAACATGGAAAGGAATTACTTAACATACCTACACAATTGTCGCAGAGACTACAATGAGACGCTCTAGGCGGTCTAAAGATTTTACAGGTAAAGCAGTATTTTAATTTAACTGGCTGTCCTTTCACTAGAATTTCTTTTGTGCGAGGTGGTGGCCTATATGTTGGCGAATTTCCATTATTTGGCACTTCTGTAAATCCATTAATTGATAAGTTATACTCATTAATTGATCGATTTTGATCTTGACTTATCATTTTTTTTTAAATCATATATTTTAACATGAACATTGATTTAAGCCAAAGATTAGTAAGCTGAGATTGTTAATCTATAGCATCCTAACACTCTAGATTACACTGAATTTTTTATGTCTGAACATTTTTAAATGCCTCTGTCATGCAGTGAAAATCCTAACTAGGCTATCGACTGTTTTCAATGAAATTCCTTTATAAAAAATTAAACGTTTTTACATTGATTTATATAAACAGCTAGTTCCTAGAGTTTTGTTTTTAATATTAATGTCTATTAATATTATTAGATGGTTTCATTTGATGAAGCATAAACTAATTTCAAGAAAATCATTCCGATAGCAATTGACATTCTAAATAATATCTATATTTCTAACTAAAAGATATATTTAAGAAATCCTTTTATCCAAAAAAAAAGTAATGGTGAAGATAAGAGATAATTGGTGCGATAGTAGAAATGAAGCTTGCCTATTTGTTTCTCAATGTAAGCTGCCTCATCAGGGGTAGCCCTAGGAATGACACCGGGGTCACTAAAACTTGTTCGCAATAATGCTGACATGACAAACATAAAAAGTAATCCACCGATAACAGGAATCGCTGGAGTAACATGAAGTGCCAAGTATGGGCAGCTAAAAATAATGAAAGTACTTCAATTAGTCACGCATTTGTGATTTGATAGTCCATATTTCATTACTGAGATCATCATTATAGAATTCCAATTTGTTTTTATGTGTTTCAACTTACTCATAAATGAAAAATAAAGCACTAGTTCCAACTATCAGGCATACAGTAATATAAAAAATGCCCGTTTGAGGGGCCATCATGATCCTGCCATCACAGCAAAATCTATTTCTTCCAGGAAATAATTCCCACTTCCTCGTGATGTGCGGCATTGTTATAAATTCTTTTTTATCGTCTTCAAGATAACTCTATCTAGCCACGAGCCCGTGGAGGAATCTGAAAGAATACCATATTCAAATAATTTCGAAAGGGAAAGTGATTCTGTATTATCATAACTTGTATATGAAGAGCTTTTTGGTCTTTATTATGCTAAATCATCGAGATCTTAAGGTCATAATAATTTTTTTATTATTCAAATCTAAAGAGCATGAACTTGGTGTTGATTGACATGGAAAATACCGGGAAATGTTACAAAAAGAAGTATGCGGAACAATTTGATTTATTAATTTAAATTATATGAATAGATGATTGTCATCATTGTCTAAGAATGTTTTAAAATAATAGAAAAAAAAAAATATAGCTTTAATAAAATTGTCAATGAGTTAGTTGTAAAAATGTCATAAAATAAATAGTCAAAGAGTGACAAAATATAGACTAAAAATGGATAAAAAATTAATGACATTAATGTAATTAAAATCTAATTAAGCTGATTGGTTTTACTTATTTAATCTATACTTCGTCATAAATGTTAAAAAAAATTATAGCACAAAACGTTGCAAGAACTATTTATTCAAACTTTTTTGATCTTGATAACGACAATAATATAATTGATATTGTCATTGTTAGAATGAGAAAAATTTAAATTATTCTGATTTACTTCAATTACAAAAATTGCTTTATTTCATTAACTTAACCTAAATTTTGCAAAAAGAATTTTGATAATGTTAAAGTAAGAATTAGTGCTAAATAATAAATGTAAAATATTGTTCTTTGAACTCTAAAAAAAAAATTATCAACTTACGTTCTGAGTATCATTTTCATCACCTTCCCGGAGGCTGCTGACTCCAAGAGAATTTGAAACTCTGGAAGAGTTATTTCTCTCAATGGCACGCATGAAAATCCATCGGGAAAACACCTTGCAACCACTCATTCAAACTTTTCTACTTTCATGATACTGACTTATGTTAGTCACTGTACTCACTTATTAACTCATCAGTTTATCTAGGATTTCAATATTCAAAAAGAAAAAATATCCCAACTAATCTACCTTCAATAAACGTTTAACCAGACTGATGACATTAACCCACGTATGTGTATATTTACGACTCGGGTCTTGAAATTCAACATGTGTGCGTTTATTCATGAGTTGTTTGTTGATTTATTGGAAAAAAAGGAAGAGATACAAAGGTAGGGGCAATCACGAGTCCAAGCTCAGCCCAGATAACCAACCATGTTACAAAGAATACTTACATCCTAAAAACAGACTATTGCTACTTAGAACTATACAGTGTATGGTCTATACTAAATTTCCTGGCGCGATTTACAAAAGCTTTGTACTTATTTTAACCATTTTATCACAGTACAGCAATATCCTTAACTTGGTCTTAACATTAAGTTTTAGCTTTAATTAGATTTAATTTTTCTTTAACACCTTCTATAACAATTTTTCCAATATTATATAACATTTTTTATATATGATTGAACCAGAAACAAAACAAAAACTGAAAATAAAAATAAACGACAAACAAATATACATTTTTCTTTTTTTCCTTTTTAACTTATTCAATGTAACACCTATAACTGTATAGACACTTTTGCTTCCTGTTTCTACAGATTACCTTAAAAAATAGACCTCTTTATCTTTAAATACTTAACTCAATACTGTTCAGAAACCTGGCCACCGCAAAGATGACTCCTCGGTCCATACTATGTAACATAGATTCAATGCAGTACGGAGGAAAAGATTTTTGTTTCCTTAAATCTTTGCAAAACAATGCTCGTATATCCTCGTACTTACTACACTGAAAGAAAACATGGTTTGCTGTTTCCTCGGCTTCGCCACATTCACAAATAGCAGATCGAATGATATTAAATCTAGCAAGACTTTCTTTAAGACTAGAGTGATTGCATCTAAGTCTATTAATGGAGACCAGAGGTTTCCTAGCTAAATTGAACTTACCGAACCATGGGAGTGCGCTCTCTGAATAGTAATTCTCGTGGTAGAATCTTCCTTTATTTAACCCTTCACATTTACACCAGTTAACAAAGTCATTATGCATTTTTCCCTTCCAAAAGGCTTTGAAGTCGGAGCTTGGGAGCAGAATCTGGGAGTCGCGACCCTTCATAACGCTATCTTTCGCAGCTGAGTCCACTTTTTCATTATAAGAAATCCCTACATGTGCAGGAATCCAGAAAAACTTTACTACCCTACCAGTTACCTGTAGACTGTACACTAAATGTTTAATTTCACCGATCAGCACGTTCAATTTACCCGCGGATCTAATGGAGGCCAACGCCTTCAGGACACTTAAAGAATCCGAAAATATAACCAGTTTATTTAAATCCGTGTTAGCAAATTTTTTCAAGGCTGCAATTATCGCCATGGCCTCAGCAGAGAAAATTGAAGCGTACTTAACCGTTCTGTTCAGGCTCACACTGCTTGTGGCGACTTCTAAGTAGGCGAACCCTACCAATTCTTTACCTATCGTCTTTGAACCATCTGTAAAAATTACTACGGCATCACGAAACTCTTCACGGAATAAATTCCAAAAAGATCTTTCAACACTTAGAGGCTTGGACTTATGAATTTCCTGAATTTCTTTTCCTTCTTCCCAATGTACCTTGGCTGGAACGAACATCGATTGAAATGGAAACTTAAAGCAGTTAGGGCGTGAATCACTAGAGATCAGATGACTTATTGGTTCTATTTCCTGAAAGCAACGTACTAACCCTGGAGTTTCAGTACTAAAGACCATGGTAGGACACTCTCTGAGTTCGGATATTTCACTGAGGATAGCAATAACTTTGTGGTTTGAGTTTGAGAAACAACGAGTTAGAAAATTATGAGTCATATACCTAAATCTAAACTCCAAAGGTGGTTCTTTAGACTCAGCAGCTATCACATTCAGCGGAGTTGAGTTTCTATACCCCATTGCTAACCTCAACGCTTTGTTTTGGATTCTATCTAATACTTTCAGAAGGGATTTCTTGAGCGACACAAACAGAAATGCACCATATTCAATTCTGGACCTAACTAGGCTTTTATACACCTTAATCAACGTTGGAGGATCAGCCCCAGTCCATGTCAACCTTAAATAGTTTATAATTGCCATAGGATTAATGCACTTTGACCTAATAGCTTGGACTTGGTGATCCCATTTTAGCGAGCTGTGAAACAGAATGCCCAGAAATTTAATTACTTGCTGAGACCAAATTCTTTCTCTATTTATTTTTATACACCAAGACTTAGTCGCGATTTTAGGATCGGAGCTAAAAACAATCAACTGGCACTTTTCTGGAGCCAACTCAAGTCCACTGTCATTTAAAAAAGGAATAATCTTATGTACCGACTCCGATACAGCTTTTAACACTTTTTTGGATCTTTATCAACTGCATAAATACATACATCATCTGCAAATTGAAGAATTTTGCAATCCTCCACAATCCAAGACTCTAAAGACATCATGTAAACTGAGTACAAAACTGGGCTCAGTACGCTACCCTGAGGTAACCCTCTGAAGACTTTTCTATGACAGTCTATTGTGTCGTATTTGACTGATATTACCCTCTCCGACACTAAGTTATGCACAAATTTCAAAATTAATTTAGGCCATCCTACACTATTAGTCTACTAAGTAACACATCTCCGAGCACATTATCATATGCGCTTCGAATGTCCAAAAAAAGAGCACCAACACACTGCTTCTTGTCAAAAGCTCTCAAAATCTCCGCGTTCAGTATAGCTAAATTATCCAAACATGATTTACTTCTTCGAAATCCAAACTGCGTTTCAGGGAACTTATTATGAAATTCCAACCACCATGATATTCTAAGATTCAGAATTTTTTCCAAGATTTTAACAAGCAAGGTGCCAACGATATTGGCCGAACAGCGTTCCCTTGACTCTAGGAATGAAGAAAATTGAATACTGGCGCCATTCGTTTGGGAAGATTCCCGAAGCAAAAATTGAGTTGTATAACTCCAAGAGGGCCCCTCTGACTTCTTTAGGGAACGATTGAATCAACAAATAATCGATCCCGTCCAACCCCGGGCTAGATTTAGTCCTCGAATTCTCAATTGCGACCTCTAATTCTTCCACCGTGATAGGCAAATCCAGAAATACATCCCCTTCCACATTTTCTAACATCGGATCCCCTCTTGCTACCCAGGATGGGCATAGAGAGTCTATCCCAACCTTCACCCTCTCCACTACCTCTTCACTAAACTCGTTCGAGCAATGCGACGAATTCCAACCTTTTTTCAAAGCTTTCAGCTTCTCCATATGTACGACGGACTTGTAAACTTATTGATACTATTAAGAAGGACCGGAAGTAGTCCTTTTTATCTTTCTGAATCCCCGACTTAGCCCTAGCCTCTGCCTGTTTATATTTAAGGAAATTTTCCTCCGAAGGATATTCTTTTAAACGAAGAAGAAAGGCAGCAACTCGTAATCTTACCAACTTATCACATTCGCTATTCCAGAAAATTGCAGCTTTTCTACGCTCTTTCTCCTTATGAACTCTGCTCCCTGTATTTAGATTCCTACTACCACCCCTTCCCGGTGTAGCCACATTCACACAGTCCTCTATAATTGCTGTAAACGTCGTATATTTGACCTGAATCTCGAGATCCTCGTTTTGGACAACTGACCTAATTTCATTACTCCGAAATTCGAGTTCCCTGACCAACCGCCCCCAATCAGTTTTACTATTGTAAAGCCTTTTTGGAGCATGATTGCTTCCTTTTTTCTCAACTACCTTGTCAAAGTCAATAAATATTGGGAAGTGGTCACTTGCCCCACGTATCCTACTAACCTTCCACTCAAACAGCGAACAAAAACCAACCCACACACTTGCGAACGATAGATCTAGAGCGGATTCTGTTCGATATTTGACGCGAATAAGAGGTCTTGACTGCCCCATTCAGCAACCCAACCTCCGACTCCTCGATAGCTTCAATAATTTTGTACCTTCTATAGAGTTCGCATCACTTCCCCATACCTGGTGATGAGCATTGAAATCCCCTGTGACCAGGAAGTTTCCACTGAATTGGTTTCAAAACGCGCACCCACTGTCCTTCGTCATATTTCGATCGGAGGCCTGTAACATGAGACTACTAGAAAAGGCCCTTCACACGTAAATATTCTATAGCACACAGCTCAATGTTATTGTTACAATTATACAACCATGTTTTCTCTTATATTTAATATTATTTCTCACCAGGATAGCAACTCCACCCCCAGGGCGCCCTACCCTGTCTCTACGCACCACATCAAATCCTTGACCGAGATTGAGTCATCATCCGTTAACCAGGTCTCCGAGAGTAACATCACATCAAATTGGAAGCTCGATATTGTAATTCAGGTAACTTTCTCGTACATGCTGCAGCAATTCCATTGACAAATCTGAAAGTATGTCGCTTTATTCGCCATTGTTTGATAAAAAATGCAACTCAATTGTTCTACATCACTCTAGAGATCAACCTGTCCACGTCGGGGATCTTGAATACTAACTCCTTACGTCGCCTGAACAACCTGTCACTACAGTCTCCCATCGTCTTTTTTCTTAAGTTCGTGTAAAAAACTGCCAATCTCGCTGTTCAGCTCTGTTGGAATTCCTTCCCCTTGGAGATACTTTGTCTTGAGTCTTGTTTACCATCAGCCTTTGGTCTTTCATATTACCACTAACCGCCTGTCTATACGATCCCATCTCTTCTAATGTATGCACCCAGGAACCCTATTCTCATTTCCCAGGACTGGAAAGTTCAAAGAGTCCACCGAAGGCCTCAGGTTTTCTTGAGCATTAAAATGTCTTTGCACATACACATCCCTTGCTGTTGGCATGACACATTCTTTTCGCATGATGCGACTGATCTCATAAAGTTCCCGAAGTTTCGGGCACTGACTGTCCAAGGAAAAATGTGAACCTTACAGTTGATGCATTTAAGCATGCAGCCATTTTCTTCATCATGCTTGTTATTACCGCACCTGAGGACACTTCTCCTCCTCCTTGCAAAACTTTATTGAGTGACCAACCTTGCCACACCTGTAACACTTCCTGACTGCTGGGATGAATGGACTTAAACCAATTCTCGTTTTCCAAAAGTAAACTGCGTTCGGTATTTCTTTAATGCGCATCGTTACCTGCCACTGAAG